GTCCCCCTCTGGGACTCACATGAGGGCTCTGGACACCTGGCCTTGGCCTCCCACTAGCTCCAGGTCCCATGATGGTTCTGCCCCTTCTGCCAACTTGTGGGCTGGCCCTGCAGGTATAGCGCAGGAGAACAGGCTGAGAGCCACCAGGCATTCGTCCTCCTGCCTCCCACTCATTCCTGATCAGGCTCTCCAACCCTTCTACCCTCTGCTGGCTCTAAACCCAGTCCAGCGATACCCATCCCATGGCCGACTCACCCAAGTCCCCACCTGGGTCCCTTACTGTATCAATGGCTACCTTCCTCTCAGGCCGTTGTTCATGTGGCTTCCTCTTCCTGCTCTGTTCTTTCCATTGACCCAAATCCCCCTCACCTTCAAGGCCTAACTCTTCTTTTTTAAAAATTTATTTGTTATTTTAGAGAGAGAGAGAGAGAGAGAGAGAGACAGTGCATGCGAGGGGCAGAGAAAGAAAGAGAGAATCCCAAGCAGGCTCCACACTGTGAGTGCAGAGCCCAATGCAGGGCTTGATCTCAAGACTCTGAGATCATGACCTGAGCTGAAACCAAGAATCGGATGCTTACCCGACTGAGCCACCCAGTCACCAAGGCCTAACTCTTGATAAAAGAATTGTTCATGGAGCCTGGGGCATATGCATAGGGACTTGCCTGCTGCATGATCTCGAGTCTGGAGGGGTAAGATAGGCTCCAAAAGGGATCTGAGCAACTGCTTGTTACTGAGTTAGCAGGAAAACAGCAGGAAAAATGTGGTAAATCATGGCTACTATTCTAGACTCAACAAACAGATTTGGGGCTCAGAAATTGGTTCCCACAAGCTCCTTATAACCAACCAACCCTAAACTGAGAAATAAAAAACTTGTTTCAACCAACCAATCATTTTCACCCATGCAGCTTTGTGGCTTCTGTCTTTATAAACCATACCTTTGCCCTTGGTCTAAACATGACCTTCAGGGGGCTGCTCTCCCTCCTGTGCAGCCACAGCTGGCCTCCAGGCATGTGAGCTGTGCACTTGTACTGGGCCCCACACTCAGAAGGGTGCTGCCCCTGGATTAATGGTCTTTGGTTGCCATCTTGAAATTCTTAGTCCATTTTTAATGAGGGGTTCCACATTTTCACTTTGTACTAGGTCCCACAAGTTAGGCCTCTGGCACTGTGTGTACCTTAAATTGCTCCTTTATAATGAAGGTCCCATCTCTAAAAGCCAAAACCCTATGTGTTAGTTCATATTTTTCCCCTTGGTTACCAATAAGCTCAACACTCACTAAATCTCAGTCTTCATTTTCTTTTATATCTTTTTCTCTCTCAGATAGTACCTTCTTGAGATTTTTCCTGGCTATTCTGGCCCTCCTTTATCTTTGGGCAGCGAAAGCTCCTGACCAGGGATGTGCGGCTTAGTCCTGACCTTCCTCTCAATGTTAAGTGTGAAGTGGCCTTACTCTTCCTGGAACTAGTTGGCAGGTCACCTGAATATCCCTCCCCACCTTCCTAGGAGCACACAGGACATACAGTAAGCACCTAATAAATACCTGTTCGTTTACTCACACATTTACCTGTGTGAGTTTACTGAGCCCCAGCAAATGTTGCTGGGGGAATTTGCACTCTGAATGAGAGGCAGACAGTGACATTTCAGTCAACAATGTTCTTAAAGAAGGTGGAGTCATGAGGAACAAAGTTAAGCTTGCATGCGTAGAGTTCTGGAGAGACTTGGTTGTTTTGTTTTGTACTAGAAAACCCTCGATGAGTTCGGCCTGCAGGATGGGTAACAAGAATTGAAGAAGGACATATTCCATCACGTAAAAGCCACTGTTTGGTGTGAATCTAACATCCCTCATGAGGATGTGGAGAAAGACAGTCTGGGGGCTGAGATATGAAACAAGTAACTGACCAAAGTTGAAAACACAAGCAAGATAATTTAACATGTTGCAACTTAGAGGAAACACACAATGTAGAGTCTAGCAGATAGCAGACAGGAGGTCTTTGTGATAGCAGTTCAGGCACAAGGTCCCCCAGACAAAAGTCTCCTGAACTGATGAGCTCCAGGAAGGTACAAATCATTTTTTCCAAGTGACTCTATTTATTTAAAAATCTCTTAAAGGGATCTCACCTACACAGAACATAGGGAGTTCCACTTTTCAACCTGGATCCCTCAAACCCAGATATTGGCCTTTGAGGAATCCTGACTGCAGAACCTGAATCAGCTACTCAAATCCAAAGATAAAACTTGCAAAGTACACCCACCATATTTTATGTGTTCAAATGACCTCTTCCTCCTCTGGAATCTTGAGTCTAGAGACTATTAGAACCAAAAAGAAAACACAAATCTCTGCCATTCACTTGCTTAGTCAGGAAGGGAGAGCCTCACATCAGTCAGGTTCATTTTCATTCTTCACAGGTCTATGTTAAATGGCCTAAGACTAACTTTGCATTAGTCTGGCCTCATCATCTGAGTAAAGAACATACCACTTTCTGGAGTATAAATTATATACATGTTCAGGCTTTTCCTTTCTTCTAAGATTCACTTCTTAATATTCTATCCAGATCTAGGGCACCTGGGTGGCCCAGTCAGTAAAGTATCTGATTCTTGGTTTCAGCTCTAGTCATGATCTCATGATCTCACAGTTACGTGAGTTTGAGCCCTGCATCGGGCTCCATGCTGACAGTGCAGAGTCTGCTTGGGATTCTCTGTCTCCCTCTCCCTCTGTCCCTCCCTGACTCAAAATAAATAAATAAACTTTAAAAAAATCTTAAAATTCTATCCAGGTCCAAATCAGAGGTTCATGCCCACTTACTGCGCTCACCCTGAGCTCAACACAGAGTCGGCCTGGTTCTTGAGGCTGCTGAGTGCCAGCTGTCTTAGAGTCCAGATAATTTCCTTGATGGTCCCAGAAAAATTAGCACAGCTCAGGGACTAAGGCACTCAGGGTTTATTTTTCCTTCCGAACCAAGAAATCTACTATCAGATTTATAATGGGGAGGGGGCGCAATTTCACTTCTAAAAACAGAAAATTTTAAAGGCCTCTATCTTAATGATATATGTAATCCACACTGGGAAGCACTGTTTTATAGAATCGAATTGTGCAAGTGTGCCTTTTGTGGCAGTCGGCAGTAAGGACACAGAGTAGAGGAGGTCGAGACAGCTCTCTGCACTTGGTCCAAGGTTGCAAATGAAGTTCCGTCCTGACTCTGCCAGCGGACCACCACGAGGGGCTGAGTCTCCAAAAGGGGGCCTCTGGGCCTTTTCTTGCCTCTCCGTGGCAAAGCCTTTGGTGTCTGGGCACAGAGCTAAGATTCACAGTGGTACATTGACTGGGTTCCTGCCAGTGTCTGCTTAGGTAGAAGGCTCTCTGACACTTCACCCTGACTCAACGGCAGGTCCTCAATCAGCCTTCACTGCCGACTCCAGGCTATCTTTTCTGCCCAAAGTGCTGGCCCCATGTCTCTGGCCAGCAGAAACTAAACTCTCCCGGCAACGGGGATGTGATTTCTAGACTGAGACCAAGGTCCCTTCCACCAACACCCAAATGACTGTAGTATCTTCCTGTTTCTGGGGCACCCAAGTTTTGCACCCAAGACGTTTCCTTTTCACATCGTGATCATCACCACCACCCCTCCATTTTAATGAAGTTTTCAGGAGAGCAAGAAGCTGTTGAGCACCTGTTGGGCAGGAAGTTAACAACTGCGTTAAAAGCAAGATGCTCCTACCAACGATAGATACCTGGCCGTACAGTGAAGTTTTCTGGGCCCCCAGCTTTAATTAAAAGGGGGAGTTCTGCAGAGTTGTCTGGCCTGACCCCTCTTCCTCCAGACATTTGTCCTTTATGTGTATCATGTGTTCCAAGTGATACCCTGCATTTCTTTTTAGTTTAGAGCATGCTGCTATGTCTTTTTGGTTTTAATATACAAATAGTCTCTACTGGCATTGTTCACATTCCTGGTTCTGGTGACCTTATCTATGTTAGGGAGGCCTTAGTCTGTGGATGGTTCTAAGACTTCCAGGTACGGAGAAGTCATTAGTGCCTTGAACACAGTAGGGCTTGCTTGTGTGACTGGCAGTGCACACAAGGGGGCCAGGAGATCCCCTGGTGAGACACCCCCCCACCAAGCACAAGCACCTCCACACAAAAGGCAAAGATGGCATTTGCTGCCTTACCTTCCTATTGTTCTTGATAATAGCCCCCATTAATTACGGGATGCAGGTTGCCATGGTGATAATAGGACAGACTAAACTGTAAGGAAACTGGAAGTTCATTCCTGGGAAAAGCTCGGATTGAGTTCTTGCATCACAGACTTCCATTATGTTAATAAAGTTTCCTAAGACCAGCGAGCCTGGTGGTCTCTTTTCTCATTGTGGTATCTGAGGCCCAGCCTTGAAGCTACTTCTTGCCTCAAGCTCGATGAGGATTGCAAGACCAGGAAATAATTTCACACCTGCAAAGCAGCTTTCCTCCTCCCTAATCTGGCCACGTCCACAGATCCTAACTCATCACGTGTCAGACCATACCCAAAGGCATGGTCTTAGGAGTTTCTGAAACAAAGCGGGATTTCTGAGTTTCACCATCAGCCACCTTTTGCTTCTCAGTTAAATTCGGATCACGGTGGTCCCGAGGCAAATTTGGAAATAACGGTGCAGCCCTCTTATGTTTCCCAAAGAGCCGCAATTAAACCTGTCATTACCTTATTAAATATGGAAAACCCACTTGCCACGGATGCCTTATGACACTAAGTCCTCCCTTGGCAGTCAGCATGGCGATCTCCTTACCGTACACGTAGGAGATCCCCACAAGCTCAAAAATGGCAATGATGACGAGGGCGTAGGACGCGGCATACGTGTCCACAAGCTGAAACATGTAAATTCCACCCTGGTAGGTAAAAGAAAACGATCAACACCAGCGGGCTTGGATCCTGGCTCTTCCCACTTAGAACGGCCAATCCTTGCCTTGTGGGGAGGAGAGTCAGATAGAAGCAGGAGTCAAAGGCTCTCCCCTCCCCTCCACAGTGGTAACCTAATCCCAGTCTAGTATGCAGGCTGGGGGCCTTGCCATGTGAGCAAAGCAATTCCTCGAGAGACTCTGAGCCAATCAATAAAACAAGCACAGAAAAGTGATCTAACATCTCACTCTTAAAAGGCAAAGGTCAACATCTGAAGACGTATATGTGAAAGCAGGCAGATGGTTTCATTTTTGCCTTAAGCAATAGACAGCTCTACCCCTAAATCTGCACTCCCCTGACCTTCATATGACCTTTAGGTGTCATTGGGCATTCCTCACACATCCCCCTGCACCTTTACCTTGCTCTTTATGCCCCTCCATAACAAATGAGGCTTAGAGACAATCTTATGCCAATTCATCATTTTACAGATGAAGAAACTAAGGCCCAAAGTAGTGACTTGCTCAAGGTCACAGAGAGAGAGAGAGAGAGAGAGAGAGAGCAAAAGCAATACGTATATTGAGCGAGCTAACGTGCAGGACTAGAAGGAATCCAATAGCTGTTTGACTCCCGTGTGTAATGAGTAACCAACTGGGAATTTCTCTGGTCAGTAAATTTGGATTTTCATGTATTCTATTTTCTTAAAAGTAGGACACACCTGCCTTGTTGGCTCAGGGAAGCGACATCTCAATTATGAAGATGCTACAAGTAACACTAGTAGCCAAGGTGACGGGTTTTTATCTGTGGCCAGAATCCCTCATGACTGGGTGCTGTCCACACTGGAATGGCAGTGACTCGGCTACTACTAAGAGTCTCGAGCAGATAGCCATCGGGCCCCCACGTGCCCCACCCCAAGCCTGTGGCCAGCAGGCAGCTCACCTGAGTGATCATCGGGAAGCCCATGATGAAGAAACAAATGCAGCAGCCCAGAGTGAAGACCGGCTTGTGTGTGCGCAGGTACTTGGGGAACTCATCTGAGATGGAGGTCACGATCGTCTCGATGGTGGCAAACTGGAACGGTGCCAGGAGAGGGGCATCTGAGACAAACCACCCAACCCAAAAGGTTCCCAAGGTCCTTTGTGTTTCCCACCGGGGAAAGAGGTATTTGCATGAGGTTTGGTTCTTAGGACTGCATTCCCCTGATGGGTCTAAAAGGCTTTGTTGGGGGGCGCCTGGGTGGCGCAGTCGGTTAAGCGTCCGACTTCAGCCAGGTCACGATCTCGCGGTCCGTGAGTTCGAGCCCCGCGTCAGGCTCTGGGCTGATGGCTCGGAGCCTGGAGCCTGTTTCCGATTCTGTGTCTCCCTCTCTCTCTGCCCCTCCCCCGTTCATGCTCTGTCTCTCTCTGTCCCAAAAATAAATAAAAACGTTGAAAAAAAAAATTAAAAAAAAAAAAAAGAATATACTTAAAAAATAAATAAATAAATAAATAAATAAATAAATAAATAAATAAAAGGCTTTGTTGGGGTCCAACCCACAAGGCCAGCAAGGGGAGTCCAAAAGGATGTGAGCTCTAGAAACTGCATATCCAGCCCCCAGAGACTGCATACACTCATCTGTCAGGACACGTGAAGCTTCACTTGGTATTCATGAGATGTAAATTCCTTTCCTCCAGTTTACTTCGAATTTGATCTTCAACTTGAGGAAAACCCCTCTTTGCGCCAACCACTAAAGTCTGAGCCCCTGCCAGCAAGATTTGTGGCAGTCTCAGCCCCACAGCAATCTCCCTAAAATCGACTTCATATTATTCCCCCTTATCCAGCCCCACAGAATTTGCATTGGCAAAGTGACACCAAAGATGGAAGTCCACAGGCTAAAACTTGCACGGAGAGTGAAGGGAAGGAGAGGGAACGGCTTCTTTGCACGACCCCACGAGTCACCCATGAATACAAAGTTGTCCTGAGCCCTGGACAGGTACCTCACCATCCTACATTGCTCGGGGAAACATTCAGAGACCACCAAGGCCAGCCTGGCCACAGGCTGCACAGAGGAAGCAGGCGAGGGGGTCTTCAGGAAGGGCCTCAGGCAGGCTCTTCCTTTGATAAGGGGACGTGGCTCACCATAGTGTCAAGTCCAAGAGTGAGGAGCATCAGGAAAAAGATGATGGCCCAGAACGGAGAGAGGGGCAGCCTGGTTAAGGCTTCTGGGTAAACCACAAATGCGATGCCTGGTCCTGAAAAGGAACAAGACAGATGACTGCACACAGGCCCAGCTCCAGACCCCCTCCTCCTGGAAGAAAGCCCACAGGGGCCTCTCCACAGACATATTATATGCTGCTTCCACTGGTTGTTTTTCTTCATCTCCTTTCACTTCCCCAGTTAGACCTCAAACTCCTTGAAGGGAAGGACTAAGGGAATCAGGCCCACACTTCAGTGAACTCAGAGGTGAGGCTAAAAATAGTGCCACAGCAGAAAATCAGACTCCAAGGCCAGGCTGCATCCCACACATATGCCACAAAACCCCCCATCTCTGTGTTGATGAGTTGGGGGAGCATATATAATAATTACCCTGTAGAACAGTGATTCTCAACCAAAGGTGAGTTTAGGCCCCCACCCCTGACCCAGGGGACGTTTGGCAATATCTGGAGACAATTTTGGCTCTCACTACTGGGGTGGGGATGATTATTGACACCTCGAGGGCAGAGGCCAGGGATGCTGCTAAATATCCCTCAATGCACAGGACAGTCCCCATGACAAAGAATTATGCAACCCAAATGTCAATAACGCTGAGGTTGAGAAACCCAGCACTAGGTTAGACCACACCAAGAATGACATCATTTCCTGCCTTTCACAGTCTTTCCTCCTAGTCACTCCTCCAGGAGAAACCTTTTGCATAAATCATGAATCCATCTACTGCTCTTATTATCTTGCCTTCAAAGGCTTGGTAAAGACAGGGCTACATCAATCCACAGGTAATTAGTTGGGGAAAGGGAGCTGTGAGACACAGTGTAAAGGTTAAAGGAAATTGGGACTCTAATGGTCAGACAGATCCAGGTCCAAATTCAGACTCTAGGACTCCAGCTATGCAACTCAAGACAAGCCATTTCATTTCTATAAGCCTTAATTTTGCCCATCTGTCAAAGGGGAATAACAAAAATACCTCACAGGGTGTTTACGAGGAACAAATGAGACAGCACAGGCACAGCACTGAGACCAATGCCTCGCACATCATCAGAACCCACAGATTATTCACTGTGATTATGAGTGGACAAGGAACTTGGAAACTAGCGGTTCTGATTCAGGGTTTTCAGCAAATACAACACGTGGCCTTGGCAGAGGAGGTCTGAGCTGCCATTTCTCTGCTCTCACAAAGACTGCCAGACATTCCTGCCTGCCTTGCAGCCTCACTGGGAAGATTACTGTGACCCACGATCGCTAAAGACCCAGCAGTTACAGATTTCCTGGTAAATAGAAAACTAAATGATAATGGCAGAGACAAGCGAATGCCAGGTTAATCCACAGCCACCGCACGTTTGGAAATCAGATATTGCAGCACCTGGAGTTTTTATAACTCAAGCATAACAGCACTTTTTTAAACTGGAATTTATCAGGTTGTTAGTTCCTAATGTTGCCGAGGGCCTTGGGGTATTTAAAATATAAAGCCTTGAATGCTTACGATACCCCCGCTTTATGCATTTATTGAACAGACGGCACAGCCAGCCTCTGAAGGCTTCCTATGTGAACCATAAAAGTCTGTATTAAACTACAGTTCAAATTAGGTCTCAAATGCAGAACACCAAGGAATCCAGTTTAGTGCTCTGGCGACAGCCGGGCCCATAAAGCGGACAAGAAGGTCTTGAAACGGCCACGACACGAGGACCTGGTTGATTGCTTTAACAGGATTTGGCCCTTTGGGCTTTACTGCTTTTTCAGGGGGCAGGAAATGATTTCAAAATATTCGGCCTGCTTCTATTACATCTGCCTCCCTGAAGTACACAGGTGAAGGCATCACTTTCAGCAAACTCAGTGTATCTAAGGTGGCTGGGAAGTGGATTTTTTTTTAAATACATTTTTATATTACTTTGTAGAGTTCAGGGCTTTTTTTCTCCCCCACTGGAAAAATGGATTGACTGAGCCCCAGCAGAGTTTTCCCCAAAGAGGCCCTTATGTCCCATAGAGTCCGAGTCCTGTTCCTCTCCTCTCCCACTGGGAGGCAGTATAGCCCAGTGGCTGGAGGGCACACTCCATTTCCCTTGTGGACTGAAAAACTGGCTCTTCCTCTTGCCAGCTGTGGGACTTTAGATGAGGCTTATTCTCTCTGGACAGACGTCAGTTTCCTTACCAATGTGGATAATAGTACCCACACTGGGCTCAGAACAATGCCTGGACATAGTGAGAACTCAGTACGCAAAGATCGTCAATACTCTTCCCATGAGAGGGGATCAAAGAGGATCTGCATGTCAGCAACTTGGACAGGAGGTCTCTGTCTTGCTTTATCCTAGAGAGTCTCTAAAAACACAACCAGGGCTCTGGCCAATGCAATACAACCGATCACAACACACTGGATACGGCCACTCTGCTGGGAAGCCTATTACGAATGGAAAAGTTCTCAGAGGGTACACTGCCTGAACTGTGCCTTTGGAAGGAAGGACTGGCATCCCGGTGATAGACAGACAGTTGGATGGATGGTCAGTCCTGTTTGAGAGTATTCATTTTGATCAGCAGTGTCTCTGAATGATTAGGGACCTAGATCTGGGAACTCTAAATCCAATATGCACATCTGTGTTCATCTACTTTGGTCTAACCCAGTCTATCTGAGGGTAGATGAGCATTTCTGCTGCTGATAGAGCTTCTGGTTGGATTCTGACCATGAGTTTCAGCTCCACAGGCAGCAAAGAAGGTGGTTGGCAGGTGACCCTAAAGGTTGATTTCCCAGGCAGGTGCTTTTCTGGGGTAGATGACTGAGAACATGCCCCCTTCCCTATGCTCATCGTAAAAGCAGAGGACAGCTGGTGTCATCACTAATCCCATCCTCAGCTCCCCCCAAACTGATATGGCTGAGATGTACAGTGATGACTTTGACAAAAATGCCTCCCTAAGAAGGGAGTGGTAAACAAAATAGAATATTGTTAGGTCACTAAAGAGAACTTGTTTTGGAGTAAAGACCAAAACACAGTTACTAGTGTTGGGTCAGCAAAAATGTACCGAATGTCTGCATGCCAACATGGCTCAGCTAGGAGGGGGCGGGGCTGACATTGACTGCGGGCCCGACCCCAGATGTCTCTCCTGGATTCTGCATAGCGTCCATCATACCTGAGAAAATCAGACATCCTGCCAATCACATTTAAGAATGTGTGTAAACTCAGATGAAGGGATAGCTACCCCAGGGGGTCTGAGAGGAGGCCTTATGAGCCAGTGCCCACTCCCTCATGCGGAATGAGGCACTCTGTCCCTGTGCCAGTGACAACCAGAGATTTAACACATTAGAACCTGTAAGAAGTGCTCTTCTCCCCATTTAAATCAGAGGAAGTGAAAAAATTCTGGAAAGGGGAAGTTTTCAGAAAGAAACATGGGCAATTGTCTTAGTCTTTCTTTATAAAGGAAAAACAAAATTCTGTTTGGGTTTTAGCGACAGGTGCCTCCAAATTCTTTTCCTGGGGCAGGAAAGAGCTCAGAAGAGTTAGCTAAGGTGGCCACACATCTCAGGAATCATAACCCTGCAACATGGCCACTGGCTCACGATGAGCTCAGGAATGTCACAAAACTCACAGACACTTCAGATCTGCTAAAAAGTGAGCCAGAACCTCCCTGCTCCAGCTCTGCTTAGAGGAAATGAGGACAGCTGGGGTGCACAGGCACCCCCCCCCCCCAGGACAAGACCTTCTCTCCCCTCCCTCCCCTCCCTGCTCCCCGGGGACCTGCGAGGTTTCAAGGAGGGCAGGGGGGTAGCATTCACTCAGCAACTCTAATTTAATGCAGTGCTGAAGAAGCAAACACCCTGGGGGGTTAACATTCTCTCCTGGCAGAGGTAATTACCCCCCTGGAGTATGCCAGCTCTTTAACTCTTTGAGGCCCACTGTGCACCAGCAGCATCACTGAAGCCCTAATTAATTATCCTTGGGGGGCCAGCAGAGAGCCCAGCAGCAGCCCGAGGAGAAGGTGACATTTCTAGGGCTTAGTTCCCTCAAGTGCTCGCATTGGAGCATGATCTGGGAATGGCAGTGAGCTCCCTGAAGGAAGCCCTGTCCTGTCCCCACAGTCCCGGTGCGGTTCCAACACCAAGGCATCCCACGAACATCTGGTTAGAGAATGACTGAAATGACAGACGGTAGCCACAATGAAATCCCTTAATCACGGGATCCTTTGTGGAGTAAGGCTGGGAGGAAACAAAGAGTTAAATAAAAATATTAAACACTATCTACAAAAACGCTGTGCTGGAAATACAGATTGAGATGAAAATGAAAGCTCTCTATAAACTCACGAGTACCATATAAATGTTAGCCATTAATATGGGGATCACTTGGATGCAGAGTAAACATTTTTTTCTATATCCTTCCCACCACCACCATCCAACCTTTCTACTCACTGGGGAAAAAAAAAAAAAAAAAATTGCAGGTCTGCATTGCTAACTAAGCAGAAGGCCCTGAGAGCACACCCGACCTAACAAACAGAAAATGCTTTGTCAGGAAAAGCTGCTTTGAAGTTGGTACTCCGGGTAGTAGGCATGAGCACTCGGTTGCCACAGACCCTCTGCGAGGGATGCCATCGTGCAGCGGGCTGTGTCCACATCAGCTCCAGGGTGCTGGAGAATCCTCTTTGGGCGCTGCCCAAAGAATCCTCCACCTGCCCCTGACAGGCATAACAGGCATAGATCTTACTTATTCAGGCTGGAGCTGCATTAAAAGAGGAAAGGGAAAACCAAAGAGAGGAGAGGAAGCAGGAACGGGGCTTCTCTACCAGCCCCTCTGGTTGGGAACTGGCCAGCTCTGACCCTGCATGAGCTTCCTACTCAAGCTTGTCTGAGTCTCTCCACAAGGCGGTGCTGGGCTGTCCCACCATCTCCTATTCCAGAAGGCCAGTTTTCCAGGGGAGCATAGGTCAGGAGCTCGTGAGGTGAGCCTGGAGCCTGTCCTGCACCAGCGGGGTGACAAACGCACCGTACCTTGGTCCGCCACGTTCTCAATGTTGACCTTGCGTTCGTTGGCCATGAAGCCAATAACCGAGAAGATGACAAACCCGGCAAAGATGCTCGTGGCACTGTTGGTGCAGGTTACAATGAGAGTGTCCCTGGGGAAGAGACAAGAGTTTGCCATTAGGTGTGCTCTGTGAGCAGGAAGGGACAAGGAGAAGGACACACAAATGTGTGCCCCTGAGTTTGAATGCACATGTGTATGTGTGTACGTGCCCATTTCTAAACATGTCTTCACTGTGGGCCGGAAAGGAACAACCAGTCTTGACCAAAGATTTCTCCTAACTGCCCTATTCCAGGGCCTCTGGGTCAAGACTCTAGTTCTACATGCTCTCGAACCAGGGCTGCCCTCATCAAAGTAGCAGAGGCAAGACTGTCCATCAGAGCAGAAGCAGACGGGATGGAGCCTTTCAAGGACTCCAGGACAGGAATCATATATGGGAGAAGAGAAGGCGGTGGGACCATGAAATGCCACCAGGGTTTGAGGACACCTTGGGGTGGGGCACACAAATGCCCAGGGGTTGAGGCAGGCTAGGAGACCAGCCCTCTGCCTTCACCCTGGCGCCCTCTACTGGCAATATAATTGCAGTTTCCCAGCCTGCCTGTCCAGCCAACCTGGCCAGACTCAAAAGAGAGGTCAAGCTAGATGGAACCTCAGAGAGAATTCAAATCCTGATTCTCCCACCTGTTGGTCCCGTGACCTTGAGCAAATTATTTCCTTCCACAGTGATTTTAAATGGTGGCAATGACCCCACCTTTCTCATAGGTGGTTGTGAGGAGAGAACCATGTGATGTTCTGCACAGTGCAGAGCCTGGCACAGAGCAAGTGTTCAGTAAACAACCCACCTTATCTGGCCCCTTAGTTTACTGATAAGGAAACTGAGGCACGAGGAAAGAAATAGGCTAATTAATTGTGGGTCAGGATTTGAACCCAGACCTACTGCCTCAGCCCATGTTCTTTCTGCCACATCACAGAGCCTCCTTTCTACCAAAGCACAGAGCCATGCGTCCCCTTGGACAGTGTTCAGACTGATTCTTGGGTCATAAGTTCACGAGCAGCCGTGACCAGAGAAGTTCACATACCTTAGCTGGCATTCCGGCCATTATGGGCTGAATTGTGTGCCCTCAAATTCATATATTGAAGTTCTAATACCCCAGCTGCTCAGAATGTGACTATATTTGGAGATAGGGTCTTCACGCAGGTAATTCGGTTAAAAGGAGGTCATTAGGGTGAGACCTAATCAAAATGACTGGTGCCCTAACAGGAAGAGATTAAGACACAGATGCACACCCAGAGAGAGGGCCTCTTGAAGACCCAGGGAGTAGAAGGCCATCTACAGGCCAAAGAGAGGCCTCAGAAGAAATCAACCCTGCCGACACCTCGATCTTGAACTTCTAGTCTCCAGCACTGTGAGACAATTAATCTCTGTCGTTCAGGCCACGCACTCTGCGGTATTTGTTATGGAAGCCCTAGCAAGCTAGTACAAAAGCTGTCTCCAACCTGGCCTCCGCCCAGCTCAGGCCCATTTCCTTCTAGCCTCCTGCATACACACCTTCTGTTCCAGTCCCACAGACCTGCTCCCACCTCACAGCTCCATCACATTCAGTCTCATTCCCACGTCTAGCTGTTCCTGCCACCCGAAATAAACTCCCACCTCCCCTGCACCTGCTGAAATTTGGCCCAGTAGAGATCTCACCTCCATGAAGCCATCCCAACCACCTCAGCTCACAGCTTAACTATAATCTTCTCCTCTTCATTCACAAAATATCTCATACATTATTAGAAAATAATAATGGCAGCTTCCATTGATTCAGTACCTACTATGTGTGAAATATTGTTCTACAAACTTTGCATACATTATCTCTTACCTCTCCATTTATATATTATATATATATATATATATATATATATATATATAAAATCTGCATTTTATAGATTAGAGAAAAGAGGCTCAGAGACATGAGGTATTTTGCCCACGTCTCACGTGTTAGTAAATGAAGTCATAACTCAAATCCAATTCCATCTGACTCTAGAGCTGGCTGGCTTGCTTCCTTCCTCCCTTCCTCTCTTCCTTCCTTCCCTCTCTCCCTTCTTCTGCCTTCTTTCCTTCCTCTCTCCCTTCCTCTCTTCCTTCTTTTCTATTTTAGATCAGCTCAACAATAGAATAGACTGTATTTTCTTATTGTTTGTCGTAGATGTATTTAACTTTCAGACATCATCTCCTCCAGGAGCTCTCCAGGCTCTCCTGGGTGGAGGTCTTTGGGCTTCCCTAACATCACACCATCCAAATATTCTCAATGTCACTATGTATCAGAATCTCCTGAGGATCCTCTCTGGATATATAGATTCCTGGGCACACCCCACCTCCAAATATTCTGATTAATAGATCTGGAAAGGGACTCAAATCTTGCATTGTTTTTTCAGCTTTACTGAGGTATAACTGAAAAATACAATCTGTAATATATTTAAAGTATACAACCTGATGATTTCATGTGCATATACATTGTGAAAAGATGCCCACCACATCTACTAACATTTCCGTGAATTAACATGCTCATCTACAGAGTTCTCTTTCCCCTGTACCTTGCTGCCTTTCTTACTGGGGTCTCTGGCAATGTATTTGCCAAGGGACAGTGACCATACTGCATCAGGGACCAGCATACAACTGTATCCATAGACTAGATAGCTCACAAATGACTATCCCGGGACACAGCCAGCTGCACAGCAACCTCTGGGGAGGCTCAACCCCATCACATAAAGAGCCACTGAGCTCATGTGTCAGAGTCGGCCCTGCAGGTTGGGGTCCAGGCCACCAGAAGCCGGCAGCTAGGACTTAGCAGGTGGTTCCATCTATGCGGGAAGCAACCCTCTGGCTCTACCTCAGGTTACGTGTGAGGGTATGGTGTGGCCTTAGGTGTCTGATGAGTCAGTCCATTGATTTGTTCCCAGACCTTATTCCCACTCAGCAGCCACCTCTGGGTTATCAAGTGCCTCCACGTACCTGTAGCAGTTGTTGTGGAATTTGTTGTAAGAAGAGAGAGTGATCAGGCCTCCCCATGCAGCAGACAAAGAGAAGAAAATCTGAGTGGCAGCATCCTTCCATACCTGGGAGGCAAAGGGGGAGAAGATCCAAGGTCACTGGAGGAGGGGAGGGGAGTCTCCCAAAGTCAGGGCCACATCATCTCCCCAGGGGGAAAGGCACACCAACACAAATGAGAAACATACATCATTTGTGCTGGAAGCCAAAAAGGGGCAGTAAATTCCCTGGGAGATTAAACCTCCATTCTAATCGAAGGAGAGGAAACCAGACTACACATACAGGTCATGCTTGTACGTCCTGCCACGTAGAAGTGAACAGAAGGGGACAGCCCTCTCTCTAGCTGCATACGTGCTCGATAAATAACCGGAACAGCAAATGTAGTCATGGGTACAAAAGAAATACCTTCTCAAACTGACGTCCTTACAGATTACAGCTGGTATTAAAACTCTAGAGTTCTACAGCTCCTCGCCTTAGTAAAACCATCTGGGCCTCAGCACAGTGGATTGCATGGTGCCACATCCTCCTCGAACTTGGCTGACAATGCCTCTTGGTTCTCTTGGTGATCTCTCTTAATTGTCCCCATAAAACTCCAGATGGCCACTCAGGAGTCAGAGCTAGAGGTCTATGTGATTTGTACAATAGACCTCCCATCATTTTTATAAATTAAACCCAGTGTTTCAATTGTGCTTATAATGTGCAAAGAGAAAGTTCAAGCCTGTGCTGGCAAGTGTGCACCTACATTCCTGAGTAACAAAGCTGTGGTCTCATGTAAAGACAGCCATTCATCGAGTGAAAGGACCCCCTCCCTGCATCAAGGGGGAAGTGCAGCTACGAGAAGATTATCCTATGATTTAGTTTCTGACCAATGATGTGAAAAACAAGTATCATGTGGAACTTCTGGGGTTTCTCCTTTATTTTAAGAGAGGGAGGGTACCTATTTCCACCTCTTACCGCACTCTCTTTGTGCTACCTGGAATGCTGGATATGATGGCAGGGGTTCTGGCAACTACACAGAAGTGAGTCACGTGAGGACAGAGAGAGAGGAGCCTGGGACTCTACGAAGCCACCCAACCAGTGCTTAACTGTGTACATTGGGCCACTTCCGTGCATCAGAGGGAAAGAAAATTGTCTTGTTCACACTGTCATTACCTGGGGTTTTCTGTTACATGCAGCCAAACCCAATCCAAGCTATAGGTTCTTAATATACTGTGTATAAGCCGATTTTTCTTCAAGGTGAGGAAATTCACTTACCAGCCAAGCACCCCCTCATTTGGAGGTTTTCGGGTTGGGAATGTGAGAATAGGATATGCCCGTACAGAATACGCAAAGAGGAAGTCCAAATGTGTGCTGGCTCCATGTGGGTGTGCCAGAAGTCTGCAAATGAGCCTGAGCCCTTTAAGTTATAATTGCTGTGGTTTGCCTAAGTGCTGTTATTTTCCACCCAGCAAAACTCCATTCCCGACACACTATAATTAGTACCCAATGAGTCGTGTGAGGTGGCCCAGTGCTATTACGGGCATTGCATTCTTCATTTTCGCCTGCACTTCAACCCCCGATACAGGACAGCTACATAGGACAACCACTCCAGGGATCAGAAAAAACCCCCAGCTGCCCACTTCTCGTTAAAGATTTCCCGAGTGCGTAATGGTCCTAGGTTATCAGGACCTTGTAAACGCGGACAGCGAGATGCCCTGGGGGAGGAAGTGTGACCCCTTTTGTCAAACTGTCCCAGAGTGAGACTCATCCCTGGGGTGTGAATGAAAGCATAAGCCCACCGTGGCATCCGTGAGTTTCTCCCACTTAGGTGTGATGAAGTACCAAATCCCAGCACCAGCTCCGGGCAGGGTGACTCCTCGGATGAGGAGGATCACAAGCACGACGTACGGGAACGTGGCCGTGAAGTACACCACCTGGAAGAACCACGCGAAAGAGTGACCAGAATGAGCATGCCTGCAAGACGTGTCCATGCCAAAGAGGCATCAACAGAAGTAGAGGGTGATCTGTCATCTGGACACAAGCACCTGACGGTGAGGGCGTCACGGTAGTTGTCCCCAAACTCTTCCAGGGCTGGGGACACAGGGAAGGCACCGGGACCCAAGATCAGAAAGGACCAGAAATAAAGTCTGTGAAGGGACAGTGAAGGCTGTGGGTGAGTTGGCTGCAGTGCGGAAGGTTGGGGCGACCTTACCCCGCCCAGCTGCTGAGGGGACACCTCTCTGAGGAACTACCGAGGGAGGAAGGCTAGGAGCCTCCCTCCTCCCTAATTCCAACCCCACCCTCTACTTGAGGACCCTAACTAAATCCACCATTAGAGATGAATCTTTTAGCTTCACCTTTCCATCCTTGTTTATACAGACACCCTAGGTGAGGCAGCCTGGCCAGGTGAAAAGAGCATGATCTTAGAAATATTTAGGTTCAAATGAAATCACACGTCTGGCACTGAGTAGCCTTCAACAAGCTCATAAGCTCTCTGAATCTGTTTCTGCAACTATAAAGTGGACACAATAACACCTTTCTTTAAAAAAAAAAAATTACTTTGTGGATTAACTAGCATAGCCACTAGCATAGCCTGATTTAGAATGGATGGCCATTCAGTGCAGTGAAGCTCAACTAGTATTTATTGATGGCCTACTATGAACCAGGCACTGTGCCAGATGTTAGATGCATAAAGATGAAGGGACTCAGGACCTGCAAGACCCAGAGACAATGTCTGCACAGTGGGCCACACCATTTCACCTGGGACACTATGAATTCCGGGGGAAGCATTGTACTCAACCTGGGAGTTTACTAAAAGATTCACAGAGAGGCACCTGAGCCAGATCTAGAGGCCAAATACAACTTAAGGAGGTGAGATGAGGTGGAAGGTGGAGGGGGAAAGTGGGAAGGCAGTCGTGTGAGGGCAAAGGTCCAGTGACTCACTATTAGGACGGCACAGAGTGGGGGCTAAGCGTGACAGGGGCACTGGGAGGAGACCACACCATGGGAGGCCTTGAATGTCAGTCGAAGGACACTCCCACATTCTGGATGAGAGGGAGGGACAGAGTGAAGAAACATTTAGAAGTAACATCAGCAGAACATGGGGACTGTGGTTTTGGATGGGGCTTATCTGTCAATCAAACATCTGGGTAAAGGAAGAGCTTGGGATCGGGATCCCATCCTACGAACCTGAGTTCAAACCCCAGCCCCATCACTTATGAGCTGAGCCAGCTGGAAAATGACTTAACCCCTTTGAGTCTCAGTGCCCACACTTGTGAAGCGGTGATAATGTCAGCATATTCCTCATGGGACTCTTGGAGGAGTACAATGGGATGATTCACACAAAGTTGTAGTGGAAACAGAAGCACCACTTCTGTCTTACTCGGGAATTATGCCAATCCTAAATTTAATAACACTGACAACCCTCTGCTCACAAGCCAGTTGAGTCCCCAGAATGCATCAAAAGATCTTACAAGGATGAGACTCCCCCCAAACCCTCTCTGACCCTTGACGTGGGTGCATACAGCCAGCTAGGCAAGCACTGTTGGTCCAGAGCCTCCCCATTCCCACATTCCCACCTGTAGCCCTCCCCCCAGGGTACCTGGGACCCCTGTGCCCTGGGAGAGAAACAGAGACACCACCACGCACTGGCTGCACAGACTCCAGGACCTGGCGGGGGGGTCCAGAATGGCAGGACCAGCAGGCACTGGGTTTTCAGGGGATGAGGACTGATTAAGGGACTTGCAGAGGTGGGTTGAGGGAAGGTTAGGATTTTTTTTTTTTAACATTTATTTATTTTCAAGAGACAGAGACAGAGTGCGAGTGGGGGAGGGGCAGAGAGAGAGGCAGACACAGAATCTGAAGCAGGTTCCAGGCTCTGAGCTGTCAGCACAGAGCCCGACGTGGGGCTCGAACCTACTAACTGTGAGATCGTGACCTGAGCTGAAGTTGGACACTTAACCGACTGAGCCACCCATGCACCCCAAGGGAGGGTTAGGATTGAGATTAAGATATAACTCTTGCGGTTGGGGCGCCTGAATGGCTCAGTCTCTTAAGCAGCCGACTTCCGCTCAGGTCATGATCTCACGGTTTGTGAGTTCTTACACTGACAGTGCAGAGGCTCCCTGGGATTCTCTTTCTCCCTCTCTCTCTGTCCCTCCTCTGCTCATGCTTTCTCTCTCTCTCTCAAGATAAATAAACTTAAATACACACACACACACACACACACACACACACCCCAATCTATCTCAGGGTCATTTCATTAAGCATTTGGGTAGATCAGTAAATCCAGCAAAGACCCCTGGTCTCAAATAGCTTACATTCTAGCTAGGATCTCCCTAGCCAATAGTGGTCATAATCATATTATCTGTGGCAGGTTACAAGGTAGTGAGTGTACTGGAGAAAAGAGAAAGTAGAGCAGGGTAGAAGGAGGGCGGGGTGTGCTGGGGAGGAGGGTTGGGAAGAGGGCCATATTGAAATGGGCAGGGAAGGCCTCATTGAGAGGTTGGCCAGGACTTGAAGGAAGTGAGAGTGACCCAAATGGATATGTGGGAGAGCATTCTAGACAGAGGGAACAGCTGCAGTAAGGAGTGTTTCTGACTTCTAGTAACAGCAAGGAGGCCAGTGTGGCTGGCAGGAGCACAAGTCGGAGAGGAAGTCAGAGAGGTGGGGGTAGGGAGTGGGGACAGGTCATGTAGAGCTTCGTGGGGCCTTTACTGTGGGAAATGGGGAGCTACTGCAGAGATTTGGATGGAGGGGTAACAGATCTAACATTTCCAGCAGCATCCAGTTGCTACACTTCGAGTATACAGCAGGGCGCAAGAGTAGATGCCTGGCCAGGAGCTAGGAGGCTGGGCTGTACTCCTTGTCCCCGGGACCGTGATGACTCCACCCAGGGTGTTTCAGTGCCGCTGGGAGAAATGCTCAGACACCAGATTTTATTTTGCTGGAAGAGCTACAGAATTTCCTGCTGATTCAGTGTGGACCGAGAAGAGAGAGAGGAGTCAGGGATGAGCCCAATGTTTCTGGCCTCAGGAGCTGAAAGGGTAGAGCTGCCACTGTCCAAAAGCTGCAGGTTAAGGAAACAGCAGAAGCGACTGCTTCCTCTAAACCCAACCTAGCATCAAGGTCAACTCTTTCCTTCTGGCTACGGACCAGGGACGGGTGTCCTTTTTCTGCACTGCTGCCTCCACTGACCAGGGGGCCTCTGCAGCCTCCCCGCTGCCCTTGCCTGGACAACATGATTACTAGGGGGCTATGGGGGAGGGCAGCCCACCTCCTCCCAACCCCACCAAACGTGCCTCTCTCTTTCCCCTGAAGCGAAATCCTTCCACACACAGACCATTGTGAAACCCAAAGGTATCTGACATCTCAGGAGAAAATCGCCTGCCTCAGGAGGGCTGGACTGTCCTCCAGGCTATGGGATGGGGCTGGGTGCAGGGATGATCCTGACCAGTCTGAACTCCCCACCCCACCAAGACAGTAGGGCAGTCCACAGCTAAGGAATATCCGTTTCACCTCCTGACCACGGGGGCTAGTGGGAAGTAAGGATGGAAGGAGGCAGGGGAGAAGAGGTGATTTGGACAGCAGGGGCTGGCAGAAGAAAACCGCCAGACTGGCAGCAGTCTACCCAGCTGAGACACCTGCTTTCATCTGACTACGGGAGACTGGGTAGACACGACTGTTTCTGGAGTTCCCTCTACGAATCAGCTGTTAGTAGTCCCATTTTGCAGAAGATGAAACTGAGACTCAGAGTCAGTACTTCACAAGGGGTTAAACATCTCACTTAAGGTCTCCCAGCTGGAGCCAAGATCCACACCTAAAGCTTTCTAATTCCAAAACCTTTGTTCTTCCCTCAAAGGCCTCGAGATCACAAGTGGGTGGGGCAGAGCTGGGACTAAGGTGAGGCAAGAGAAAGCACTAAGGGTGTAATATTTAAGGAGGCACTCACTCTCAGGGGCCAATCCCACACACGCAGGAGCCTGAGAGTGAGCGCCACCTTAAATTTTGCCACCCTAGGCACTTGCTGGCCTCACCCAGCTCCAGGCCCTGGTGTGTGGGAGGATGACGTCACTGCAGAGACGGTGATCAGGGTGAACTGAAAGGGCCCACAGTTTGGTTTATACATCCTGGGGATTTCAACCCAAGTGTGAGTCAGGTGTACATAGAGGCTTTATGCACAGCTTGTGTTGGGGGAAGGGGGCTCAGAACACACTTGTTTTCAGGATGTATTGTCAGAGGAATTAAGCTCCAACGGTAACGAGTTATATTTGGCAGGAGTGGCAATGACTAGTTGATCTGAGCCTGCCGCCCAGACACCTGGCAGCATCCGCCTCGCAGCAGGAGCCCCAACCAGGTGGTCAGGTAAGGTCCCACCAGCTAGCTAATTAGGCTACTTTGTGTTGTTGCCATAACTCTCACGCAGAGCGGCCCAAGGTCAGATGGGATGCATTTGACCTTCTGGCTGCCTGCTGTCACCCCTGCCCCTGGAATTCTAGCTCCTCAATGGGAGACCCATTCCTAGGAGATCTCCTAGGAAGCAGCAGGCCATTCTTGTCTCTGACGGCCCTGAACAAGAGGAACTGAGCTCCTCTTGCTGCGGGAGAAGGTGGACATCTCTGTTGCTTAGAAATGACAGTCTTCGTGGAATTTCAATCACAAAGGAGCCTGTCATAATGAGGAGCGTCAGCATTCACCTTGGCTTCCAAACGATGCTCCATGACCAATGTCTGCACACCCCAGGGCAGGGTAATAAATTGTGATTCATTATTTCTGGTGGCATTCCTCATTTTAAAAAAATGATCAGTGATCCTTACTTGTTCTCCATGAAGCAGAATGATAAGTTAGCAGATCTAAAAGAAAAGCTTACCTGCTCAGGGCTCCTCAAAAATTCCCATTCCAGAAAACCTGTAAAATCTAGCACCAAGGACTAAATTCTAGCTATAACACTGTCCTAGAAAGTCATGGACTAACAAAGCTAACAGGGTCTTGGAGAATATTCAATCTGACCCTTGAGTTTGTAGATGTGGAAACTGAGGCCTGGATGCCTCTGTGACTTGCCCTCCTGGCAATGACAGCTGATGGTGGCAGAGATGGGGTGGGAGTATAAGGGTCCTGGCCCCCAGCAGGGGGACTTTTATCCCCTCTGTGCAATCGGATGGCTCCACAATTCTGCATCCCCATATCTTCCTAACATTGCCCCTCCTGGGGAAATGATGTTGTGTAGTGGAAAGAGTCCAGGCTTTAAAGGGAAACGGAGGTAGGTTCAAATCCCACCACTGCCACTTAAAAGCTGTGTGACCTCAGGCAATTTCCTCTACCCTGATGTGCCTCACCTTCTCTATACATAAAATGGGAATACATGTCCTTATTTATTCAATCTGCTGTTGTGCAGATCGAATGAACTAATGCGTGTGTAGCAGTTAGCATAGTGCCTGGCACACAGTGTTCCACAAAGCTGCCTTTCTCTTCCCATTTCCCCACCACAGCTACCAGGATGTCAGAGTGCTGCAGTGGCCCCTCAAGACATCAGTCATTCATAGTAACAAAGGTGAGAAAAGCTAATGCTACTGAAGAGCTGACCAGATACCAGGTATTATACATATATGATCTCATTTAATCCTTGTAACAGTCCCATGCGGTAAGTACTGTTTTTCCCAATTTACAGATGCAGAAACTGAGGTTCCATGGGCCACAGAGTTGGTCCAGAATTACACAATGAGAAAGCGATAGGGGCAGGATTTGAACTCAGACTGATCTGACTCTAGAGCCAGCAGGCCATCCTTCCCCAGGTCACCAACAGGGCCACTGTTCTCCCTCCTCACCCATCACCTCTTCTCCTGCAGTCACCCCTTCTAGCTTATCCTGCTAGAGACTGTCTGCTAGAGACCTGTCTGGCCACTTCAACCAAGCTGAGGTTGTCCTGTCTCGAGTTGTAAGTGACAATCCTGCCAGTGAGATTTGGTTTGAAAAATACTTGGCCTCTCTTGCTAAGCAGTCACTTGGCTTGGTTCCAAGCCACAGAAGGCAAGGAGTTCGGGAACCTCAGGACACGCTGGCCATTGTTGTGAGGGTCATGTCAACATTTCCCCCATCTTCCTGCTGCCCTAGAAGAACAATCTAGTCTAACCCAGCAGGCTCCTTGGGAGTCATCTGATCCTAACTCTCATTTTACCGAAGGGAACACTGAGGTCAGAGGGGAAAACTGAGGTCAGCTCACCTAGCAAGTGTTCAGACAGATGTCTTAGACATCACCCAGCCTGATTGCCTTTACTCTAAAAATGGGGAAACTGAGGACTTCTGCAATAGTTAGGTTTCTGCTCTTCATTTTAGCAGAAAAACAAATAAAAGCTAAGAGCAAATCAGAACCTCAGCCAGAGCCCAAGCAGAGATGTTCCTATACAGCAAACACCATGAGAAGTTCCAAAGGACTAGAACCCAGGTCTCCTCACCCCCAGTCTGCTTCTCCCCCAACCTTATGTGATTTTAGGTGTACCAATTACCTCCTGTAATCCTGACAATCCTGTGGGGGTCTACAGTTCAAGTTCCTGTGGTCCCAGATTACAGGGAGGGCAGCAGAAAGAAGTGTTATCAAAAGGTACCTATGAGCATGACCATGCACCCAGGAAGAAGACAGACTCCCCTCTGTACTGATGGGTGCCAAGTTTGGGTGCCTGGTGGGGGGTGTGAGGCCTGCCTGGGAGGTGGGAGGTGACAAAGACTCATGTGCCCTTGAGGCCTGATCCTTCCAAAGTGGGTTGTTTGGATATCACCACCGTAAGCCCTGGCTGGGACACCCAGACCAAATCAACTCCACAACCTATGGTCTGAGCCCACCACCACATTCTCATTCCTTGGGCCTTAAAGACACATCGGGTTTCATCCCAAGCCACACAAATGGACTCTGAGGATGATTAAGTATCGTTGGTTATCATTGAGTGACTGGTTAACTGTTTAATGGGGTTCTTCCCAAAGCGGCAGGAAAATGAGGGAAAATAACATGACCCTTACAAGAACGTCCAGTGTGTCCTGAGGTTTCCTGGACTCCTTGCCTTCTGTGCCTTGGAACTGAGCTCAGGGTGGGAATTCCAATGTCTCCAAAGGGCTGGCCAAGCCACTAATCAGCAAGAGCAGCCAAGGATTCGCTCAACCAAAATCTCACCGTCAGGACTGTCCCCATTTAGTGCTCTGGGCACACGGAGTGGAAGAGTGTTGGGCTGAGGGTCGCAAAAAGGGCGTGAAAAGTCCAAAATATGCTGGTGGGAGTGAGGAGAGGGAATCCACTTCACAATTTTGATCTTTTTCCAGCTTCTCAGCAGAAGCAATAACTGACCAGGCAGCCAGGCCAAGAAGCAAAAAGCCAGCAGCACTAATTCTGGAGTTTAGGGAGAGTGACTCAATCATGCGAGGTAGATCCCATCTGGTGAACAAAGTGGCAGCCCCCGACAAGAGAGGAAGGAAACTAATCAGCAACCACACCATCACTCAGGAGCTCTGTGTGTATTCGTCTCATTTGATCCTTAAAACAGCCCTGAAAGAAACATGCTATTTATCCCATTTTAAGGGCAAGGGTGAAGTCACTTGCCCAAGGTCCCAGAGCCACTCAGGGCCAAAGTCAGAATTTATCCCCACGTCTCCTGGCTCTTTTGCGGCTCCATAACACAACCACCCCTGGGAGTCCCAGACTTTTTAAGATAAATACAAGTTCTCACTTTTCCTGAAGTCTTGATTCCTTTTGCCAGGGACGCATACACAATCACCCAAGCCAGGAAGAGGCAGAAGGCTAGTGGCCACCTGATCTCCCCAGGATATTCAATTCCAGCAGAAATCTTCAGCACAAAGTACCTAAGAGGTGGAAAGAGAGATCAGGGAGGGGAAGGAGGTGGGAGGGAGGTGACAGTCTGCAGGCTTTTATCTCCCAGCAGAGCCAGGAGCCTTGAATAAACCCCAGCCACTCTCACCGTCCTGGTTAGAGACCTGATGAGATCAGGATGAGGGATGTGCCCATCCGGGTTCAAGCCCATACATTAGCACAGAGGCCAGTTGGATTTACTGGGTTTCTAATTATGTTGTGGGAAGCCCATTATGGCCCTGGCAGCCTCTGAGCAAGGCTAAGTCAGCTCTACTGCCATCGGGAGCTGCCCCAGTACAAGTGCAAGTCCAAGGGCATTGGGGGTTCTGGCACAAGCAGTCCCCTCCCCCCTCCTGGTGACACGAGGTAGCTGTACGGACACTGAGTCATGATTCAGACAATCCCTTCAGCTCTGCAACGATCAAGTCCTGCACACTGGATGAAGCTGCTGCGCTTGTAGCTTTCTGTGACCTGAACAAAGGGCCAGCCAGAATCCAGACTCGACGGGACTGCAGAAATGTCGACCCAGAGTGTCCTGACCTGCACAGGGACGTGAAGGTGGTGGCTCCACTCCTGGCCTAGCTGGCAGCGGTGCCCTCTGGCAGCTAGCGGGTATGCACTTGGGAGGCTATTTGGCAGCGCATAGCCCTGCTTTTGGGAACAGAGATGGCCATACTCCATGGTGGCACAGCCCCAGCCTCTTTCGGTCTCAACCCCTGGGGCAACCTGGGCTCAAGAGCTTGGTAAAAGTGGCCAAGTGTGGAACTGGCCTAGGCCCCCCAAACTTAGGGACCATGTCTCCCAAGCAATAAAAAGTCCTCCTCCATGTCCCCACTCCCCAGATGGGTAAACCATCGAGGCAACCGTTCCACAGCATCTTGGCCATGTCAAGTAGCCCATGCTTTAACGAGGGACCTCCCAAATGGCTCCTAATAACAAATCCTCTTGGAAATAAAGACTAGTCCCAGAGAATAAGTAAAGACCACCAAAAACATATTCACAAATCATTGTACCATATGCCTAACCACATGGATTATGTGATCAGACTTCACCTAACCACCAAGTCAAGACCCAGTTTCCCAGTGATCGGGGTGACCCACTCTCTCTGCTCCTACATTATCTTCAAAAGGGATTAGGTTATCATTCAGTCTAACTCTCATTTCTGTTCTGCAGGAAACAACCATGACGCCTCTGAGTGCACACAGGAGAGAGAACCTGGAATTGGAATTAATGGCTATTGGGAGAGGTAGTGGAGACCACTTCTTACTATCTAAGTAAAGGCCACAAACCAGGGGCCTACTGATATGGGGATTTCATTTGGCCCCAGTGTTTTATGTGAATGAATTTGCTAACCTCTAAAATGGGAGAGACACGTAAGAAATTCAGATTTTGTTTCCAACTTGTCTTACAGAATGCAAGCTCTAGCAGCACCGGCCTGCCTTTCCAAATGACACTGTCACCTGGAGCGGAGCAGCCTCCCTCTCACGTGGCAGACGGGCTCTCCAGTTTGCCACTGTCCCCACCATTCTCCATCATCTAGTTTGTATTTTAAAACCTCCCTGCCAAGCCCCCGGGCACATCCGTGTTTACAACCCCGACATAAAGCTTAACTGGAGAACATTCCTTATTTACCCTCCACTGAACCCTGTCTACATTTATCTCCTTTAATAAATGATTCCATAAATTTTATTAAATCCTCCTATGGTGGCTAAGGATTTCCTACTATTCCTTAACCTCAATCCTCAAAGACTGAAAAAAAAAAAAAAGAATGTAAAAAGTACAAAAGTAAGGCAAAACTGTTTTTAAAAAGAGAGAGAGAGTGTTCTTCTTTAAACTAAATTATGACTTGTTTTCTTACTTTTTGCCTCCCTTCCCAAGTTTAGATGGAAGGAAAGAAAAACAAATTAACAAGGGAGGCAAACAATAAGAGAGTCTTAAATACAGAAAACAAACTGAGGGTTGATGGGGTGCAGGGGAGAGGGGAATATGGGTGGTGGGCATTGAGGAGAGCACTTGTTGGGATGAGCACTGGGTGTTGTATGTAAGCGATGAATCACAGGAATCTACCCCCAAAACCACGAGCACACTGTATACACTGTATGTTAGCCAATTTGGCAATAGATTATATTTAAAAATAAATAAAAATAATAAATAATAAAATAATAAAGTAAAATAAACAAAACCTAGTTCAGTGAAGGTCTGCTTCAGTCATGTTGGCTGAAGGTTTTGCAGTGTTCTGTCATCAACACCAGGAGTGACAGCAATACCAGTTCTGTTCCCAAGAGCATGCAATCACGTCCCCTCTCCAAAGCCAAGAAACACAACAATTTGCTCTCAGAAGTCCCACCAGGGAAGAAGACTTCCTCCCAGATCACGCGAGTAGGTACGGAGGGCGCAGACGGAGGCAGCTCATCCCTTGGACCACCCACACCTTGGACCACAACTTGAAAATTCATTAATTCACTGGGTTTCCCTTAGAAAGTTTATTTAAAAAAAAAAAATCTTACTTGAAGTATTCTTCACTTCCACTGACAAACGTCTTATTGGCCTGGCTGGTGAAGTTAACCATTGTCAAGTTGGGATAGGCAGTCATGCAGAAAGTGGAGTTCTTGATCTGTATTTTGGGATGGTCGCTGATGACACAGGAATCTGTTTAGAAGATGGGACAGAAACACAGTGAAATCTGTACAGAAATTACACACATCTCTCTCCTCTCTCTAGCAACTGCAGAATAAGAGCCAAAAGTATTTGCCAAATGCTAGAGACTAACCTGGAAAGTGTTACCTGAACAAAGGTGCATCTGTCAGGTGCAGATGAACCCCAGGATTATGTTTTAGTCATCCCAGAGCCCCCAGGACCCACAGCAGTGCCCTGTGCTAACAAAACTTGTCATTTACAGAGAACCCCCTACGTGGCAGGAGCCATGCTACACATTTTGCATGGTTATCTCATTAATGTTCACAACAGCCTAAGGGTAAGTGCTATTACCTCCATTTTTTCCCAATGTTTATTTTTATTTTCGAGACACACACAGACACACACTCACTCTCTCTCTCTCTCTCACACACACACACACACACACACACACACACACACACACAGCGTGAGTTGGGGAAGGCAGAGAGAGCAGGAGACACAGAATCTGAAGCAAGCTCCAGGCTCTGAGCTATCAGCACAGAGCCTGACGCCGGGCTCAAACTCACAAACCACAGGATCATGACCTGAGCCAAAGTCAGAGGCTTAACCGACTGAGCCACCCAGGCACCCCTATTACCTCCATTTTTAAAGTGAGGAAAAAGGCTCAGAGGAGTTAAGTAACTCTACTCAAATCACACAGCCAATAAGGAAGAGCATCGGGATTCAAACCCAGATCCTAGGACTCCATAAGAAACAAATGGCTTGCAGAAACGAATCTGTAACTGAAATTTGAAAATTCAAATCTGCAATCTGAAATTGAATTAGACATAAGCAAACCTTCTGAAGGACTACCAAAGGAGGCTTACTAATGAGTTCACCTTGAACCCGCCGCCTGGCACATTGGTGACAGACGGTAAGTGCCTTAAGATACATGCTGCATCTGCCTCCCACACACATACATGGGTTTGAGGAGGCAGAGACCATGCCATGTGCTTGTAAGCCTGCAACAAGACCTAACACGGTGCTTCTCAACTGGGGATGAATTTGTCCCCCGCGGGGCACTTGGCAATGTCTGGAGATGTTTTTAGTTGCCATATCTAGGGAATAGGATGCTATAGGCATCTAGCGGGTACAGGCTACTGATACTGCTAAATATCTTACAATGTACAGGCCAGCCACCCACAACAGAGAATTATCCAGTCAAAATGTCCAGGGTTTTGAGGCTGAGAAGGCCTGACCTAGGGTGGGATGGGGAGGGGGGACTCACCACGTGGATCATAGTAGGTCAGGCACTCCGCTGGACACTTTAGCAAGGACTATCCCATGAAATCCTCATCAACCTTGGGAGGTGTATATTAGTATGCTCATTTCAAATAGGAAGAAGCTGAAGTCTTTCTGACTATATTATAATGCCTCTCTAACAGCCTTATAAACACCCATCACTTGGCAGTTTAAATAGAGTCCACCAGGATACTGTTTTATCCCCAAAGATACTATTTTACAAAGGAGTGAAAAGTAACGATAACAATGGCTAACACAGGGCACATACCATGTACCTTTGTAAGTGCTTTATATGCGCGGACTGATTCAAGCCTCACATCACCCTTATGAGGTAGGTATTGTCATTGTCTATGCTGCAGATAAAGAAACGGGCACAGAGAAGAGCAGGTGCTTGCCAAGGTCATACAGCAAAACCAGGAGGCAAACAAGCATTCTTTCTTTGGGGGCCATGCTCTTAACCATTGTACTGTGAAGCAAAGAGCAGGGATCGTAGATTCAAACACCTTCATAAACCAGGCTGGTGACACAAATGATGAAGGCATAAAATAGATGGTGATAAGGAGAGGTGGGGACTCTGGCAAACTAGAGGATACTCCAGACAAACGGGGCCATGCCTTTTCCTTGTGTTCTGGCAAAAGATGCAGAAAATTTGGATATTTACATGAAATCTCTCCACTTTATTTTTTTTTAATTTTTTTAAATTTTTTTTAATGTTTATTTCTGAGACAGAGAGAGACAGAGCATGAGTGGGGGAGGGGCAGAGAGAGAGGGAGACACAGAATCAGAAGCAGGCTCCAGGCTCTGAGCCGTCAGCACAGAGCCTGACACGGGGCTTGAACTCACAAACCATGAGATCATGACCTGAGCTGAAATCGGTCACTCAACCGACCAAGCCACCCAGGCGCCCCATCTCCACTTTATTTTTTTACGTTTATTTATTTATTTTGAGAGAGAGATAGAGAGTGGGCGGGGGGGGGGGGTTGGTGCAGAGTGAGAGAGAGAATCCTAAGCAGGCTCGGCACTGACAGTGCCTGATGTAGGGCCTGAACTCACGAACTGTGAGATCACGACCTGAGTGGAAACCAAGTCAGACGCTCAGCTGACTGAACCACCCAGGTGCCCTGAAATCTCTCCATTTTAAAATGTTGGAAATAAGGTCAAATTATTTTTAGATATCGTGGACCAAACTACAACAAAAAAAAGAGGACAGGGCCACCTGAATCCGGTGCATGGACTCCTAATGCATGCTACCTGTGGAACAGTAAAGTGGATAAGACTATGGGTTCAGAGGCTCCTCTGCCCTGAGAGTTTAGAGGAGTTAGAGGAGTCCCTTTATCTGTCCAAGCCTCTGTTGTCTGATAAATGTTATATCTAGCTTACAAGATTGTTGCAATAACCAAAGTAAGTGATATCAGCAATGAAAAAAAAAATCTCACGATGCCTTGAGCGCTGCTGGACTCAATAAATTTTAGCCATAACTCAGTCATCATTGTCATACATTTTTATGGGGTGGGCATCTCTAGTCCTCAGTGACATCTCCCACAATCTCACTAGCCAGCCATAAATCACCTACCACTTCCCACTCGTTCCTCCAGAATATCTCATTATATCCTATAAAAACTTTTAAATAACAATTATAAGACTCTCTTCCCTCTGATTAGTTATTTTTCTTTAACGTTTATTTATTTGTGTGTGTGTGTGTGTGTGTGTGTGAGAGAGAGAGAGAGAGAGAGAGAGAGAGAGAGAGAGCATGAGCAGAGGAAGGGCAGAGAGAGAGGGAGACACAGAGTCAGAAGCAGGGTCCAGGCTCTAAGCTGCCAGCACAGAGTCCGATGCAGGCCTCGAACTCACGGACTGTGAGATCATGACTTGAGCAGAAGTCAGACACTTAACTGACTGAGCCACCCAGACGCCCCTCTTCCCTCTGATTAGTTCTTTAAACCAGGGTTTTCAACAGCAGTACTACTGACTTTTTGGACCAGATAATTAATTCTCTGTTGCCGGGAGCTCTCCTGTGCATTGCAGGATAAACAGCATCGCTGACCTCTGCCCACTAGATGGCAGGAGCATCTCCGCCCCTCCATCAACACCCCACCACCCTCGTTGTGATAACCCAAAATATCTATAAACATTATCAAATGTCTCCTGAAAAATCTCCCGGAGTTGAGAACCGCTGATTTTAGAGTCCTCAAAATACCTTTTAATTCAATATTATCTTTAGTCTAATCAAATAACAAGAGTTCCGGAGGGATTCTGACCTAATTATCAAATATTTACAAAGGGAGCATTTGTTTCCCCCAGCAGCAATCTGAATGAAGACAACAAAGGACCATCCACAGCCCTTTTCTGTAAGTAAGCGCAGAAGTTATCTCCTGTCCTCCTGCCAAAAATTACGTCCATCCCCTAAGACCGAAGAAACTGCTAAGACGCAGGCAAATGCCAAATCGCTTGCTTCCAGAACTGCCATTGTGAATCATGCGGGCAGCTTCCCTAGAGAGCTTCCCAGGACGACTCTGGATCCCTACTCTCAGCGGCAGTGCAAAGTCACGCTGTTCCTGCGTCACTGAAGAGGGCTCCTTGCAGCCTCCAGCCTCCTGCAATGTCCCTTCCCACCATTGGGCGGCAGAAGCATGCTTCCCAACGCACAACGCCTTCAGGTGGGCCAGTGGAGGAAGGATGGGCCGTGTCATCAGACCTCCGCGGCCCAGCAATCCTGAACAAAGAACAGCGATAATGATCGTGCTAAATTGGAAGCTGTTCGAATGGGATTCTCTTTACTCGGGCAATTATTAATAAATGAAAGCACACGAAAGACCAGGGAGAAAAGGGATCATTTAATTAAAGTTCTAATGAAAATTAAGCCATTCCAGGAATAGAAATGGTATTTTTGTTGTTCCCATTTTAAATGACCCAGTTGGCTCCTAATTTCACAGAACAGTCGCTGGTCTCAGTTGGCAGGGCATGGATTAGCTATTCTCCATTAGACATCTGAAAGGTTGAGTCCTCCTAAGGAAGACAGTCTTAAAACCCACACCTTAGAAACATGCTGCAAGCCCAGCCTCTAACAATGGACAGAGCCAGGGCTGGGGGGCTGGGGTACAGGGCCCTGGCATCCCGGTGGTGAGTCAGGCTCCTGGAGCGATATGACCCTAGCAATGCTGAGCCGGCCATGGGATAAACACTTCCTCGCTATGACTGAAAGTCATAACTGTGAGCTATCCAATTCCTCCTCTGAGACCAGTGGCCCGCTATCACATGGTAGGGCAGCTATAGGACAGAGGCTGAGCCTGGAGGTTATTTGTGGAACACTGCGCTAGGGGAAGGGATTTTCCCATTTTCTAAACATTTCTCAGAATGGCCATTTGGGAAAGGGTCTGGGATATCCACCATCTGAACTCATGACTTGTGAGTTCAAGAGAACTCAAGAGCAGCAAGTTCAAGAGCAGCCTGACTGCTGCAAGTCAGTCCACCACCGCCCTTTCTAAGTCACCCCAGGACCCCAAAGGACGGATACTTCCACAAGGGAGAGCCTGGCCTCAGTAATGGAACACAGTCATGTGCAGACAGCACAGCGAACAGATGGAGGGACTGCACAGAGAAAGAGTGAAGATTGGAAACTTGCTTTAAAAAAGTGGGGGATTGGGGCGCCTGGGTGGTTCAGTCGGTTAAGCGTCTGACTTCAGCTCAGGTCATGATCTCGCGATCCGTGAGTTCGAGCCCCGCGTTGGACTCTGTGCTGACACCTCAGAGCCTGGAGCTTGTTTCAGATTCTGTGTCTCCCTCTCTCTCTGACCCTCCCCCGTTCATGCTCTGTCTCTCTCTGTCTCAAAAATAAATAAACGTTAAAAAATTTAAAAAAAAAAAAAGTGGGGGATTGGGGCGCCTGGGTGGCTCAGTCAGTTAAGTGTCCGACTTCAGATCAGGTCATGATTTAGTGGTCCATGATTTCAAGCCCCACGTCAGGCTCTGCACTGACAACTCAGAGCCTGGAGCCTGCTTCAGATTCTGTGTCTCCCTCTGTCTCTGTTCCTCCACCACTTGTGCTCTGTTTCTATCTCTCAAAAATAAACATTAAAAAAAAATTGTTTTCAATGGGAGTGGAATTTAAAGCACTTGCTAAGAATAAGATAAAAATCTGTCCAGCCTGTTCATATGCTCCCAGGGAATAATCAGAGTGAAAAATGTCCATTGTCTCTCTCTGCTCAGAGCTTGCATAGTTTTTATGGTTTGTACCAGTCAACTAGGAGCTTAGCTGTAAAATGCCATTACTCTGCCTTTAATGTTATCATCCGCCAGACTAGAAACTTTACAAATCCAGGAACACCCTCTCCCACATTCCTGGTCTAGACAACATGCTCAGCTTGCTTCAAAAAAAAAAAAAATACACACAAACGAATATAAGTGTGTATATATACACAGAGACACACACTCTGGCTATAAAATAAATGTGTCCATGATAGAAAAGGTAGAAAAGAAAATATGGTCCCAAATCTGTCAGTAAACATTTTGTGTATTTGGGGGAGGATTTCCCCGTGTTTTATGAATATTCATGTTTAATGACTACAGAATACTTCATTCTATGGATGCACTACAGTTTATTTGAACTATGGGATTATTCAAGAATTATTTGCATTTTGGTCACACATTTAAGTGTTTCTAGTGTTTTCCAAGACTGTAAATGTGGCTACAATGAATAATCATGTATAAGTCTTATCTGGGTCTTTGATTTCCCCCCTTAAGATTGATCCCCAGAAGTGGATCTACTAAGTCAAACGACTGTTCGGACAAGCTTTCTTTTTAGCCCAGGGAATCTCAGTCCCTAACAGACAGTTAGGGAACACATGGACTGATGTCACTCTGCCAGGACTGATGGGGCAGAACCTGATGGACCAAGGAGCCTTCGGGAATCCTGGATGAGCAGGCAATCAGGAGTCATGACATCTAAATCTCGGTGCTGGTTCTACCTTTCGATTTACAGCCTGACCCTTCCACTCTCTTCAAGTTCACTTTCTCAACTGCAAAATGGTTATCATGTCACCTGCCCCTTGGAACTCTTAGGGCTCTTATTAGGAATAGCAGGGACATCTTTTATGAAGCTGCTTTGTAGACTGGGGAGCATTTGGCATGATGCTTTAGAACCGTGGCCTTGGGAGGCAGGCAAACTTAGGTTCAAATCCCAGGTCTACCATAGAGTTAGCTCTATGACCTTGAGCTCGAGCTTTTTCATCTGTAAAGTGGGAATAATAATAGAAGCCATGTGTTGACTTGTTGTGTGTTGGTAATACAAGTAAAAGGGTTCTCATAGTGCTTGGCATGTCGAAAGTGGTGCTAGCTGTTATTTAAGTGTGAAGGTGCCACACAAATATTAGTGGATATGTTTGTTGAAGAGAATGTTGTTTCTGAACTACTGCCCCTCCCGGAGGACAGCTGTGGGACACTGATCACCATGACATCTATGGTTCCTGATGGAAGTCCCCAGGCAAACTTCCCATGGAGCCTGATTCAAGCCAGCAGTCCTCCTCCAGCAGGTTCTCCCTTGAAAAGTGACCTCCCTCCCGGGCACAATCTGGGAAGGACAGGCAAGTCTGGGGAATGACCTTGAGGTATTTCTGCATTCTAGACTCTACATCCTAGAAAATGTTCCAGGAGGGCACTCCAGCAGCTAATTGTTAGTTGTGAATCCATGAACAGCTTTTGAGTGGAATTCTCCCAGAGAACAGCTTTGTAGAGGTGACCACTGGGATGGCAGAAATGCAGGCAAGGAGAGGGGGCATTCCATTCCAAAAATGGTTAAGGGCATCTAAATTAATAAGAGGTATGATCAAACTCCAACCTAGTGGTTCTTTGGTTCCTGGGGCACTTTAAAACTACGGATCCTTGACTCTATCCCTAAATTGTCTGATTTAATTAGTCTTATGTGGACCCTAAGGGATGTCTTGATTTGTCAGTTTCCCAGGTGATTTGATGTATAGCAGCTTGGGCTGACAACTGCTGCCCTAACCCAAGAATCCACCAACACTGAGACTGTGAGAACACTGAGGCAAAGAGAGTCTAACGGACGCTTCTCGTCGAGCCACCCACCTGGGAACCTCCACACACCCCATCCCCCATTCCTGAATACTTCCAGGTGCACAGGGTTTGACTTTCATGGGCACATGTCTTTAGTTGTAGCTCTTCTTCAGTCTTAGTCAAAGCCACTCTAGGTAGAGGTTGGTCATGGCATGTATGTATACGCACAATGTGTGTAAAAATACTCCAGTGTGAATTACTGCCTTTAGGTATGTGCATGTCTCCAAGGATATGGCAGGGAAGAATTCATCTTTCTCTCATAGCACACTCAAAGGGTTAAATAATGCCCTCATTCTGCAATGTGCTGGCTGTAAGGGCAAAGGAGCTGATTTGGGGGCCTACACTAAGAGCCAATCATGTAGAGATCACAGATTCTGACCTCAGCACAGATTGAGCTTAAGGGGAATAACAGATCTGCTGGAAAAAGAAGAAACTACTTGCTTATTGGTGCCCACTGAAATGACAGAGAGGTTTCAAAGGTGACAAAGGTGACCGAGGCACCTTCTATTTGTAGAAGGCTATACTTTTCCAGCTGCTCCCATATCCTTTGTTTCTGGCTTCCTTACAGCAATCCCGTGAGGTAGATAGGATAAAGAACACTATTATTCCTACTTTACAAGTGACAAAAATGCAGATCCAGAGAGAAAGGTTACCTGCCCAAGACCCATGTACCGTCAAGGGCAAAGATGTCATTTAGGCAAGACAGCCTTGCTGACAAGTCTGCCCTGCTCCTCCTCACTTCCACCCACCTGCCTTTGACCCAGCAAGCTGACAGCTCCCCACAAGCCCTCATGTCCTAGGGGATTTCAGGTTTGAACCGTCAGGAACTCTCCCTGACTCCCCAGGCAGACTTCCCTATTTCTAGGTACTACATTATGCACGTTTCTAATCTCTATCAGAGGTCTGCCAGTCAAGTATCTGTTCTCCTAGTTACCTCATGCACTGAGCAGTATTTTGTGAAGTGTGATCCAGGATCACAGGCATCACTCTCCTACACTCTAGGACCCCATTGCTTTCAAATTGTACAGTACATATGAGTCACCTGAAGACCTTGCTAAAATGCGAATTTCCCAAACCCATCCAAATCTAATATATCAGACTACCCAGTGGGCCTCTAAGTCTGCATTTTTAACAAACACTCCAGTTAGTCATGGGCAAACAAAAATGTCATCACCCCTCCTCTGAGCCATGAGCTCCTTAAATGTTAGAATTAAGTATATTTGGTTGTCTTCATCTCTGCCCACCACTTAACATAGGGATATCCAAACTTACCTAATAAAAGTTTGGTTTTATCTTTGCATTCTGGCGTGTTCCAAGGGTTGTTGCAGGAGCCCCAGGGCAGCACAGACACAAAGGAGGCAAACAGGTAGAAAAGTGTGTAGCAAATAATCACATTGTAGTATATGGCTATTAAGACGGAGATGATCAGCATTGCGATGCCACAGCCTGTGGAAGCAAGATTTCCAGGGACTCATTCCAGTCCAAGTCCTAGGGAATTCTTACAGTTGGGCACAGGGAGGGGACCTAGGTCTTGGCTCTCTTTCACAGATGGATACACAAATAGTGGAGTGGATTCTGTGTCCATCAGGGAGACTGAGGCATTCTGCGAGGAACGGACCAATGCCAGAGGCAATCTTGGGCCATTCTTCAGAGGGTCCCAGAGGTAGAATGGATCAAATAAAGGAAAATGTGAGTTATCCTGTTCACAAAAGCAGGTCTCCCTCCTGGGGGCTGCATGATGCCAGAGAGAGCAGAAGAGGGCTGAGGAGGCTGGGAGGCAGGGCGGACTCACCTTGTAGGGCCGGGATGGCCTTCCACACAGACACTGGCCCCTGGCTGGCAAACTGGCCCAGTGACACTTCTAGGAAGAAGATGGGTAATCCAGCCAGAGCCAGCATCATCAGGTAGGGGATGAGGAAAGCACCTTGGAAAGACAGAGTGAGAAGTGAGAAGCCCTCGGAGGCCAAGGCCACCTTGGCCCACATTCACCCTCTGAGGTGGGAGCTGGCTCCCCCTCATTTTCCAAGAAACTTTTGACATTCCAGCTCAACCACAGTGACCCCGGGACATTTAACAGCCTTCCTGTACCAAGTTCAGTCCAGAGTACCCAACAAACACACTACTTTTCCCAATTCCCTCCTGGATGGGTTGCTAGGGGTTGTGTCATGGTGGGGTTTTATTCTTTTCTCTTCTTTTCCTTTTCTTATTACAGCATTTCAACGTCCTCCAAATTAAGCTCTTCCAGCATTCAATAAATCCACACCTGTGACTCACTACTAGAGTCATATTTGGTGAAATCGTCTCAGCATCTCCACCCTCCAAGGACCCGATATCTACTAAGGTAGACTCCAGGAGCCCTCCTGTGCAATACCCTGAGTCACCGGCACACCTCCTGCCACTCAGTGCTGGGTCTGCTCTGCCATTCAAGTGGCTAGAAAATCCCTCTCTCCACCACCCCAGCCACCACACACTTCTCAACTTTCTTCTCCACATGAAAATCCCTTCCATCCTTCAAGGTCAACTCAAATGCTTCCTCCTTCAAGAAGCCTCCCTTCTCTGTCCTCCCACAATACTTCCCTAGGCACTGAGCACCTCCCAATATTTACATAGTGTCTTACCTAGACTGGAGCCCCCAGAGGTTGTCAGCCCTTCATCTCTTTATTCCCTGGAATGCCCGCCCCCCCGCCCCCGCTCCCTGCAAACAGGACAATAGTAGTAGGGAGGCTGCCTCAACTGATGGGGGTTCTCTGGGGTTCATTTCCTTCAAGAATTAAGATTGTTTGGGAGGGCCTTAGGGAACAGCCATGATCTTTGAAATGACTTGGACCAGTAAGCACTGTTGCATGGGTCAGAGCCAATTCAGGCACTAGGGATGCCAGAACCCAGAACGCTGTGCTCCAGGAAAGGAAAGCTGATTTTTCTCTGGTCTACTCTTTTTGGTCACCCTTCTTCCAACTTCCTGTCTGGGCTGAAAGGCCTTTCCTGCCTGGGCCCCTCCAGGTGAGGAAAGCCCAGCAGGGGCCTCAAGCTCTTGGGGAGTCAAACGGGGGCGGGGGGGGGGGGGTCCTCCTCTAGCCTCTCCAGATGGGGTTTTGGAGAAGGGTGGATTATGCAATCCTTCCCCCGCTCCCGCTCCCGAGAAGGAGGAGGCCAGCTCTCCACCCAGTGCTGTGGGCTGCGGAGCTGGGAGCCGCAGTGTAGAAAAGTCTGCCTCCCCCTCCCCGTGCATGGCTACGTGAGGAGCTCCTGGAACCAGGAGCAGGAACCTGGCCACTGGGCCAGACGCAGACCCACACTTCGCGGATCCCCAGGGGAGCAAAACATGGGTACTTCTGGCATGCCAAACTGCCCCGGCTGAAAGGCCCTCCCTAGCTCCTCCCCCACCTCCCACCACTACCTGTCACTGGAAGCCTTATTATAGCATCTCTGGCCCACTTCTTGCACCCTGGACTGGGATTCTTACAGAAAACCAAGCGGAAACCCAGCTAGGGTTCCTATTTTTGTGTGGCCAGCACATGTTCTTCTGTTTCCAGGGCACCTCCGTTTGCAAATGATCGGCCATCCTCATAAGTACTTGTCAATGTGTCCTAATTTGGAATTGGAGGGGAGAAGGCATATTTTTCCGTTTTAATCATCTGGTGGTGCAGCACCGGTCTGCTGTCTGGAGCCCACCCAAGAGAAAACAAAAAACAAAAAAACCCTAACTTGGTGGGGAGGGGGTCTCTTTGGTCCTAGGAGGAGGTCCTAGTTGCAAATTCCTATTCCTAGAGGGGGACTTGTCAGTTTAGGCAATGTGGGGGCGAGGCCCTGGCCAAGGTGCCTCAAGGTGGAGAGCGCCAGCAAAGAGGACCTCGAATGGGAGGGCTCTCTCCTCCTCAGTGTGTACATAAGAGGTACACTGGATCCAAGGGGCCTGGCAGCTGGTATGTACCTAACTGGCATCCTCACCATTTCAGAAATGGTTTTCCTTCAAAAGCAGCTTCTTCCACCCAGTGAAGACAAACAAAACGAAAACCATTTTCTGCCAAACAACTTGGCTAAAGTCAAAATATGTCCTGCTTGTGCCCAAGGGGATGTATGTGTGTGGGTACTTCTGAGAGGTTCTGGAGAGTACAGACCCCGGCCCCTCTGCACTCCCCCCTCCTGGGTCACCAGCACCCTGCATTCTGCACAACTCAAACACCCATTTGCAAGGTCTCCTATGTAGGCTCGGATTTCCAGGTTATAATCCTAAACCGTCCTTAATTTGGTGTCCAGGACCACACAGCTACTGCCATTTAAGTGCACAGAGTGCACTGCTACAAGAATATTTCTTGGCTAAATCAGAGTTTGAATTCTGAATGCGGCCATGCCCGCTTGGCTCGGGACCCAGTCCCCCAAGCTGGACCAGTGGGGATCATGGAGGCCCCCCTCTCTCCTGAGCTCCATCTTCAGACAAAAGCCTCCTGGATCTAGTGCCAAACCCTTACGGTGGCTCCTGCCCTCTGGCTTAGCACCGATGCCTACGGGGGATGGAGCCGGAGCGAGGAGGCTGCTCCCAGCCTCCACTCCCTGCCCTTTCCGAGGCTCCTGGTGCCTCCCCAACCCGCAAGTGCCCGCCCCGCCCCTCCGCAGGCGGAAAGACCGGAAAAGCCATACCTCCCCCGTTCTGGAAGGCCAGGTAGGGAAACCTCCAGACATTGCCCAGCCCCACTGCGTACCCCACCATGGACAGGATGAAGTCCAGTTTGCTGGACCAGTTCCCTCGGGCCTTATTCTCATCCCCTTGCTCGTCCTCCTGGGGGCGGAAAAGCACATTGTCGGATAACAGCCCGGGGCCACCGGCAAGCAGGCCCCATTCCGCCCACCCCCCCTGCTGAGGGTCTTTCCCAGCAAGCAGGCCCCCATTTTCCAACTGAGGATGCATTGGCAAGCAGGACCCCAATTTTGAAGAGAGAGGATGCATCTACAAGCAGAGCCTTTACCCCTCACCCCTGCACTGAAAGTCTTTCAGCAAGCAGGCCCCCAATTCTGATATGAAGATTCATCTTCAACACACCCTTAGACCCCTCCTTCCCAAATCCTGCAGTCAGGGCACACCAGCAAGCAGCTTTCCCCAAACCTTGAACCTGTTGGTTGATTGCAAGCAAGTCCCTCCATCCCCAACCCCTGACCAAGAGTTCAGTTGGCAAGCAGTTCCCCAATATCATGCCTAGAATCCCCAGCAAGCAGATCCCTAACCAACCCCTCTCTCCCCAAAACCCTCAACACACTCCTTCCTCAGCCCTTTCTCCCTCTGGAGTCTGCTAGGTCAGAAATAGAGCTGCAATGCCTGAAGCCAGCCAGAGCCCCTGCCTCATGTTGTCTGCCAAAGCCTATAGGCAGAACCTACCTGATTTGCTAGTGTAAGGTGGGGGGGGGGGCACCTTTCAACACCAGGGCAAGGGAAATGGGCTGGAGAGAGGCGTGGGTGTGAAACAAGAGGCAGAACAGAGAAGGTAGATATGGCAAGAGACGAGACATCTAAAGCATTGAGTTCTGGTCTAAAGTTTACCACTAACCATCTGGATAATCCCAGGCAAGCCACATGCTCTCTGAGCCTCTGTGCTCCCATCTATAAAATGAGGGGCCGAGAAGAACTATCCCTTGAGGCACTTTCCAGTTCCAACCATCTATGGACCTTTGAGGCTTGCCTCTCCAAGTTCACACTAAGATGCTCTCTTAGGGGCGGTATCTCCTTCTGGAATGCCTCACTACTAAGCAGAAAAGGAAGAAGATGAAACCACCTCAACAAATTCTAAATGTTCAGGACGCCTGGGCACCACACCAAGGTTCCAAGGACCCAAGCCACTGCCCGGCCTCTACTTCCTCCGTCACACTCCATTTGCTCTTCTAGTACTCTGGTATGTCTCACACTGTTCCACAGGCTGTGGAGAGTAAAGGAGCTGTCAGGAGAAGAGGAAGTCTCTGGAAGGGAGGAGGGCTGAGGTAGGTGTCAGGAAGGCAAGAACAGAAAAATGGGCAGAGCTGAGAATAGGCAAATGCAGGGCTTAATCTACTCTGAACATCTTCAGCATCCCCTCCACAGTCCTTTGCCAGGCACACCACCTCCAGCCCCACCCACCCTCCAATTCTTCTCAGGCTAAAAGGGTGGGAGTTTCAGCCGTTTTTGCGCTTTTGCCGCAGTGCGGAGGTTAAGCAAGGTATTTGAAACAATCTTCTGCCTCCATCTGGGGTCACACTGTTGGGCACATGCTGTCAGAGGCAGTTAATATATACAGACAAACGCTCCAGAAGTGGACACCAAAAACAGGGGCAAGTGGGAAGGTCTAAGTGTATGTTCATTTCTAGTTATTATTCCAACAGCTGGGTTCTTGAGGTGTGGGCCTGTGGATGTGTGTGTGTGTGTGTGTGTGTGTGTGTGTGTGTGTGTGTGTAAATACTAGAGTGTCACCAAACAGAAGGGCTGTATAAACTGGAAATCTCACATAGGCAGATGTTTAGATTCAGCTGCTCAACACATGCCTAGCCCCCCAGACAGGGGAAGGAGAGGAGACAGCAGAAAGGCCGGGGATGGAAAAGGAAGAGCTCAAGTAGGTGAGACAGGACAGAGAAAGGAAGAGATCAGAGGAAGCAGAGAGACTGGAGGGAAATGGAAGACAAGAGCCTGTATGGGAGAGGGTAATAATAAGCAGTAGTAGTTGCCTTATCCTGAACCCAGGATTGGGATTTGCTCTGTGAGTTTTTCATGCCTCTCACTGAGTGTAAAGGATCAAATGTAGAGGCAGGTCCAGGCATGGAGCTAAAGAGATAGATTCTCTTTAAGAAAACAACAACAACAACAACAACAACAACAACAACATATACAAAGTTATGATGAAAAACTAGGTACTGGGTTTTGGAAGAGCCCTGAAGCTTAAGCTTCAGTAGTAGCTTCATGTACACCCACCTCTCCTCAAGGAGTTCTCATGTGATAATTTCACTCTAAGCGAAAGGTACTACTGCACTTAAACTGTTATTCCCTACAGGGGGAGGGGAAGAGGGTTCCTCTGTATTTCTTAATTTTTCTAATTAAGGAAAAATATTTTAAAGAAAAGACTCACTCATGGACAAAAGGGGGAGTCTTGTTTTCATAATCTATCTGTCTCAACCGCTTCATGAGCCTGCATGAATTTGCGCGACTACTGAGGTTGGGAAGAGACAGGTCGTGGCGGCTCCTGAGATCGTGATTCCTCTGGCAGGGTCACAACAGCCCTTGAGCTCTGAACTGGGGACCCCAGCGCAGCGCGAGCTTCCAAAGCCCCAAAGCTGCCTCCCGCGTCCATTACCTGGCACTGCCAACCGGTCTCCCCATCAGCACACGTGCACCCACCACGGCCCGGCTCGCCTCGCATACCTAGGGGGCGGAAGGCGGTGCGGACCGAGCACGACCTGCTTACCTGGGCTGCAGCGGTGGCCACGCTGCCCGGGAGCACGGACGTGATTCCATCCGTGCCCAGCACCACGGTGCTCTGGCTCATATTCACCCAGCCCACGGCCGGGGTATTGTTCCGCTCCAGGGTGCCCTTGCCCACACTCACGTTAGCATCCCCCTCGGGGCCGCGCAGGGCCGGAATCTTACAATGCAGAGCGTTGCCGGGCCCGGCGGCCCCAGAAGGAGCTGCGGCCTGCGCGCCGCGCGCCTCGCTCAAGTCCCTCGGAGCTGCCGAGGCCGCAGGCGCCCGCGGGCTACTGAGTTTGCAAGCCCCCACTCCCTGCCGCTCCGCCTCACAGGCTCGCGCGTCAGGGGACTGGAAAGTTTGGGCGCCGGTGGAAGCGGACCTGGGCACACGCGGCGTCGGCGCCACGGCGGCGGCGGCGGCTGCGGCGGCGGCGGCGGCGGGGGGAAGCTCCTGCTCCGGGCTCGTCCTGGGCGCGCACGGGCCAGCATGGTGGCCCAGCGCCATCGCCGCCCCCAGGCTGTTGGCTGGTTGTTTATTCATTTCCTTGGGAGCACCGCAATCCTGCAAATACAACGTGAAGTTCGTGCACACACAAACATACACACACGCACAGAAAGTCACGGTAGCTCTAAAAATACCTGTATCTACATGTAAAGACGTTCACCACTCAGGTCCAGACACCACTCGGGTCCGTTCACCACTCAGGTCCCAATATCTCGGGAATAAACTGGCATCTGGATTTTTTTTTTCCTTCTCCAAGAAAAACTGTATTTCTCAATTTGCCTGTCTTGTCAATAGCCAGATGGCATAAAGCAGTTAATATTCTCCTCCCTGATGGTGGGAGAACTAAGAAAATAGGCAGAAATGTGTTTTTGTAGGGGGTAGCAAAGGAGGGTAGAAATAACCCTACAGCCATGAGCTCCCCGCCCTCTTTGGATTTCACATCACGGCTGTAGGGTGCCCACCTCCCCATCACCATAGTAGAAAGATTCTTTAATTTTCCGCCCCATTTCCTTTGTCATTCAATAATGCACATTGCCTTTTTTTTTTTTTTTTTAAATAAGCTATAGGCAAGCTGCGGCCACAAAGCTGATGCCCTGGCACCTATGAGTGTTTCAGGCCAAATGGGTTGAACGAAATCCAGCATTTCCAACCCCATCTTCGCCCTCCAGGTAGCAAAGGCAGAAATAATGATCCCGAGCAAAACAAGAACAACCACCACCACAAAATAACCATAACAAACCAGATGTACAACACAAGACAGTAACCAGGTTTGTTATCTTACACAACCTACATTCACTCCCAGATTTCCAGACATGTAAAAGAACATGCAAAGTTTTTTGGTTCTCTTTCCCCCTCCAGTAACTAGTTACAAGAGTGTCCAATGCCCTTCATGCTTGGGGACCAAAACTCAGGACTAATTTTCATTTGCTTTTTCTCAACTGAGTTTCACATTAAAAGATCTGCAAGTGATGGTTCTTCCATCTGCTTTCTCCACTCGTGTACTCTTTCAGGGCTTCCTGAATATTAGCACCAATATTTACTATTACACTGTAAGAATGACCATATTACCTTCACCTCAACCTCGTGCATCTCGTCTAACCGTCTTTCATAAATGCACAGGTCGGAACTCATTAATTTGCACCAAATCTAAACACCTTGTCTCCAGCAAGCATTGTTATCTCAAAGCCTCTAGGACTCAGCGACTAGCCTCAGTACCGACACCTGGCTTTTCAGCACCGAGGACAGTGCCTGGGATCACAGTTAGAAGATCGGGATCTCCGTTCTACAGAGCTTCAGAAACCTCTTTCCGACCTCAGGTGATGCTCACAAGAACAAATACCTACGGCTGTGAAGATTGCCCTCCCTTCCTCTTCCAAAATGCATAGAACACTTCAAAAAGAAGTACTCTAAACGAATCTGCCCTTCCTCCACCCGCAGCTCCCTTTCCTCTAAAAAGAACAAAAGCAAACACTCACCATGTCTGACACGGGCAACAGATTGAACGGGCAGAGAGTGAAACCAGCTATTGAGAAGACTGGGTTTGACTCCAACAAGAGAGGCGCTTTCTATATCTCCTTGGGAAAGGCCAGGTTTGCGTCAGTGCAAAGCAAGGTGCCCTTCGTTTGACATTTTCTTGATAATACAAGTTTGATAAATCATTACCCCCTTGGATTCGAGTTTTAAAGGGACAACAGCAGAGAGTACGCTGGCCAGTTGTCCCTCGGGCAGGAGGGGGCTGCGTATTCGGCGTGACTCATATGGGTCTGATTACTAAACCGAAGCCGGCGGGAGGGGATGACAGAAGTTTGCCTCCTCCTAATTAAGGGAAACATGGGAGGGACACGTCCCACTGCACCCAAGGCGAGGCGCAGCCGCCAACAGAGCGGATTGGGCTACGAGGTGGGCGAGGGGGAAGGAATTAAATTACTGTCATATTTCTGTCTTTCTCTTCCTCTGGTTCCCTTGGCTGTCTCTTTGAATCTGCAGGCAGTGGGTTCCGCAATATTACCCTGAGATCGAGGGTCTGCATGTAACGGCACAGCTCTGCAATGGCCAGTGCTCACGGGTCCTGCATTTGTAACATTTATAATGGTGTACCTGCCTGAGTGTATGTGGGCTTCAGATCCTCACAGCTCTACTCGCAGACAACCACTGTTAGAGGGCTGTTAGACAGCCCTTCCAGAAAACTAGGAGTTTCGCTTATACATTGAGGTCTAGTATTTGCATTCCTATTGTATCTCTATTAACACAAAAGAAATTCTGAGTAAAATTATGACTGTTCTCATTGTATTTTTTAGACACCTCTGAAAATACTTTCGACAAAGAGGATATTATTTCCAACAGTGATCTCGTTCTTAGGTCACTTTCAAAGTCAAACGGAAACCCATTCTTTTTTCATAGCCCTCTCAATAAAAACCCACCACAGCCAGGCCAGATGTGGAAGCGCAAGGTCTGAGAGATCCTCCAGATAGCCATCTTCAAGAGCCAGGCGGCAGGATGGCCAACCGGGAAGCCACAGGAGGACGTTCTAGTGTACTGCGGCGCAAGTGAGGGGTGGCTCTAAAGATAAAAAGATGGATTTTCTTGGTATAAAGCAATGGCTACAATCAGAAGAAAGGGAAAACACCTTTGCAAAGAAGGGTTGGTTTGGAGACTCCAAGGGGATTGGTAACAAAACACCTCCCCTGTCTCCTTTCTGGCCAGCTTCATTCCGGGAACGCCTCGCCCCGGAGGTGGGGAGCCAAGGAGGGCACTTTGTCCCTTCCCTGACGCTCGCAGCCCGGCCCACAGCCTCGGGGTCGGCTCCGTTGCACTTGGCTGGGCCGTCCCCACGCGGCAGGAGGACAAAGCCGCGGAGGCCGCAGGCGGAGGCTGCGGCGGCAGATTGCGGTGAGCGCCCGGGGCACTGCGAGGGGCCCCCTCCCGCCTCCTTCCGAACTGCTCGAGAGAGCTCGGGTGCCGCCGCTCACCGGCTCGCCAGTCTGCCCCTTCCGAGGGCAGCCACCTGGGGACCCGCGATCTGCACTAGGATGGAACGATGCGTAGGTTTTCTTGATAAAGCCTTCCTGGCGAGCCGCCTTGCGGGGTTCAGGCCGCTTTTTATTGTAGTTTCGAGTTAACATTTATTAAGCTCTCAATATTGAACCATTGTGCAAGAGCTTTCCATGAATTATCCCATTTAGCTTTGGTAACAACCGTTGAGAAATTCCTAGTTCTAAAGCCCGGGAAACTGGGGTTTAGAAAGTCGCTTTCAAACCCGGGAAAATTTCCCCACCCTGTCCATAGGGACGTCGCGGGGGCCCAGTTGCACTGTCTCCGGAGGCCCGCTCCGAGGGAAGTCAGGCGGGGTCGGGGAGGAGGAGTAAGGGAGACTGGTGTGGGATCGGGCTGGGCTCTAGCTGGAAAAGGGTCAGCACAACAGGCGGGGCCGAGAAGCCCGCAGGGGCGCGTGTCTTGGTGGGCGCTGGGAAGCATCCTAGACTCTGGGAACCACCGGGAAAGCCGAGGGAGCCTGCTGGGCGCTTCTTCCGAAACAGACCCGTTTCCAACGAGCCAAACGAGGATAGGAGAAGAAGGGTAAGGGCAGGCCTGACAGCCCCCACTTCCGCGCCAAGAGATGCGCCCCTGGGTCGGATTAGGCCCCCCTCTGCAGGCCTTGGGCAGACTTCCACCGTGGACAGTCACGACTTGGAAAGGCTCTGGCCTTTCTTCGTGCGTCTGAGCCGCCCCCGCCAAGTGCGGAAGCTGGTGAAGCGTCCACCTGCACCCCCAACATTCCGGGCCTCACTGACGTTCCAGGCTGGAGGGGGGGGGGGAGCTAGGTGAACTGCAGCCCTGAGCATAAGTGACGCTCCCGCCCCCGATCGGTCCCCAGGCCTGACGTGTCGCCTGCGGGCCCTCCCTGGCCTAGTGCGCACTTGAGTTCCAGCGTGGCGCCCGTCACGCGTCAGGCAGTTCAGAGGAGGTTGACGCGCAGGGAAAGCTGCGGGGTGGGGGCGTAATGGTGGTGGAGACGCTGCTTGAGCTCCCCACCTCACCCCACTTCTAGACGCAAGATTCTAGAAAGGAGAGGCTACGTTCCGAGTGGAGGCGGCGGGGGGGGGGGGGTCTCAGGCGGGGAGGCCAAGAGGCGTAGCTCCTAAGCCGGCAGGGGGTCGGGCACCGTCGGGCAGCAGAGTGGGGGTGGCAGGGCGGGAGAGAGCCAGCCTTCAGAGCCCGGTGGCCCAGGGCAGCTCGTCGTGCGTACAGCTGTGTGTCAACGCTTGGAAGCGCCGGGATGGAGCCGCAGCATTAAAAAAGAATTAGAATAAAAAGCGCAAGTCTTCCGGACTTGGGTCTCCGCCCCCGCCCTCCGCGGCCGCCTGTTTGGAGTGATAATCCGGCCCGCGCGCGGCCGCCGAAGAGGCCGTAAATCCGCATCCATCACCGCGCAGCCATTCGGTCGGAATTAAACAGTCACTGTGGCCTTAATTACTTTGTCAAAGATGAAAAATAGTAATTGATTTCGCCCTCGATCACTTTGCCCCCGCTCCTTGCAGATAAGCAAATACACAGCTGTTTTTGAAAACCCATGTCTCTCCGGCATTTGCTGGATGAGGGTGGGGAGTCTACTGAAGAAGAGGCCATCCCGTGGCAGTCCTGACCCAGTGTTTGAGCCACGACATTTGGGGGGCAAACTGGAACCCAAGAGGGAGAGGGCCTGGAGGTGGCCCTGCGCAGTCCAGGTGCTGCCCTCCACAGCACTAGGGAGCGGGGCTGGAGGGAGAGGAGCCGGCCCTTTACACGCGTCTGCTCTGGGGTTAGCCTGGCTGGCGGTACCCTACAGCCTCCTCGCCTCCCCAGGGCAGCAGGTGAGAAAGAGCTGAGGGACTAATTTGAGAGAGGAAGAAACTTGCCCAAGGCCAGCGGGCAGAGCCAGGACTTGAGCCCAAATCTGTGTTGCTTCTGGTCCACCCCACCACTCCGGATATAATTATAGCGAGCGCCTGTGTCTGTGTTCAGCTAATTTTGAGCCGTGAACACATCAAACTTCTATAGACGGTGGATGTGAGGGCTCTCAGTGTGGGTTTCAGGTGACATTAACAAGACAGTTAAGAAGCCCCGTGCAGTAATTTTGTCCCACTTGCCCACTACTGCTGAGTTCCCCTGCAGTGTTGTTTTGTGCTAAGAATATGGATTCTGCAGACAGACTACACCACCTCCTAGCCTCTGTGACCTTGCAGGGGGAAGGGGGGGATCCTCGATCTGTAGAATGAGGATAATAAGAATATTAACCTACCTCACGGGTTGGGGATTGAGAGTAGGCATGTGAAGTGCCTAAAGTGAGGTCAGCTGCCTGGTTTGCTATCAATAAGCAATTATTATTATTCAGTCTGGAAAAATGATCTGTGTGAAGTCCCTCAGATTTAGCAAGTAAAATCGTTGTTTCTCCCTGGTCCGAATGGTTTAAAATGGATAGACATGCACGGAGCAGAAAGCCTTACAGAGTGGATCATCATTTTGCAACATTTCCCCTTCTCATTCAGTAGTTTGGTCACACAATAATCCAGTATTTATCTTCATTAAAGGAAAATTGGGAGCATT